GGGGGGGGGGGGGGGGGGGGGGGGGGTGTGTGTTCGTCAAAGCTGTTCAAATACTGAAATAGCCAGCAGCATTTTGAAAAACATTGTACGATGAAATTTGTGCAAATTTGTTAGGATACTCCAACAGTCTAAAAATTCTTAACTCTTTTGAAACATTATTGAAATAGTGAGTATATATTTATTAAGAGGTGAGCCCGCATAATGAAATGAAAAGTTTTTACAGGTGGCAGTGGTAGAAATATCAGAAATGTTAAATGTACAAAGTTTAGCACTACACCCTAAATCCTGACAATTACCCTGATTGGATATAAGGCCAGCCTTGAAATTAAGCCTTCACAGGATTCCCCCAACATATCTCAAGAATAAGCTGGCAATGAAATGGGCCATTTTATTCTAGGTTGATAGCAAGGTCAAACACAAGGTAACCCTAGTTTAATTTAATGGCTTTAATTAGGATATTTTAAATGAGTTTGTATCATTAGGCCCTATTTATCTCCATTTTTAGGTCACCTGAGCTTTAGCTCAAGTGACCTATTGCTATCCGTTTTCGTCTGTCGTCGTCCGTCGTCCGTTAACATTTTACATTTCAAACTTAAAGTCAAGTTCTGCTGGGCCGATAGAACTGAAAATTGGTAGGAATGATCGCATCATGGTCCTGACAAAGTGTTGTTATTTTTCGGGTCAATCAGAAATACAATTTGGCTGCCATGGCCGCTATTTTGCTACTAAGTTCTAATAGGCCGATCTCACTTAAAATTGGTCTGGGAATGATCAGCTCATGGTCCTGACAAAGTTAAGTTAACATTATACTATTTTTTACACAAATTGGTACATATTTCAACAACAACAAAAAATACTGTAGACTCAGGTGACCGCTAAGGCCTATGGGCCTCTTGTTATTGATCCATCTTATAATGCTCTGTCGTAGGTCTAATGATCATAGGAATCTTACTTTGGGCCTTGAAAATGAGCTGTACATGGCTTACCGTCTAAAGTGGCTTTCGGCAATAAGTCTGCCTGTCTGTTTAAAATTTACATAAACGAATGTCTTGACTTAGATTTGATTTGTGGTCGTATAAAAAATAAAGACTAGGCGGCACCTTGCTGTTGATACAATTATAGACATGTCTAGTCTAGTGAATGTGACTCATTTTTGATACTCTAGGGGTTATACTCAATGAAGCTCTCTGCACCCCTGGAATATGTCACAGCATAATCGGAGGCAATGTGTGCACCACCTTACGGAATAGACAAGAACACTAGCTCATTCCTTTGCTTCATTCTTATTTCACCTTTGACCTAGAATTGAAGGTCACAGACAACTTAGCAGGTTATGTGTGGCACTGCTTAAGTTCATGTGAGTAATGCAATTATATTGTTCAATATCATCCAAATATCTTCGTTAAATTGCACTAATTTGACCTTTGACCTGCAGATGATGGTGACATCAACCTTACTGCACACGTCGAGGAGTCGGGTACGCTGTAAGTTTGAGAATCAATTGTTTAAAATTTACAACCTTGACAAGACTTTACTTAAAAGGTAACACTAATTATTTACAGGATCAATAGAGATTTTTAAGCAGGCTGTTGGTAATTTTAAAAACATATTGGAAATTTTATTAGCAAACCCTGAACAAGAGGCACAGGGGCCTTAACAGTCATCTGAGATTAATCTAATGCTGCAGTTAATTAGAATTTGGAGTAACGCTTTAAAACTGTTTGGCAAAAGGGTTGACATGAACTGACCAACATATATTTGTTTAAAACAGTGCGTCTAAATTTATATCAAATAATAAGATTTATAGTGTGGGGTAGTGTATGTATAAAATGAAGAGTTTTCATCAAAATAAACTTTCTGTTAAGACCAGTGGATGGTTGATTGGCTAATAGCTTGGTTTTTGGTGGCCATTTTGGACAGCAGACAGGCATAAAAACTAGGAATAGTGTGTAGGAAAATTGAAATCAATACCAGTACAATGTCTCGGCCAATCACATCATGGGAGCTGCACATGGTCACCATTTTAAGTTGGTCCTAAAGGTAAGAATTTGCTGTCGGGACCTCATAAGGGAAATTTCCTAAAGGTTTGGATACAATAGCAGTAGGAATTCTTAGGAGAATTCAAAAGTTTCAGTCAATCAGAGGCCATGTTGCCATTTTGAATCAACTAAATAGAGAAGCTTGCAAGGTCCTCATGAGGAACATTTGTGCCAAATTTGGAATGAAGAACTGCACCAGTTATTGAGAAGCTGAAAATGTCTTGACCAATCAGATCTCATGGTGGTCATTTCGAATCTTGAATCAACCCCAAAAGTAAGCCTTACCTTGCCAGGACCTCATTAGGAAAATTTGTCAATAGCTTGTCTCAGCCAATCGGAGCACATGGCAGCCATTTTGGATTTCACATTGGCCCAAAATTACAATATAATATTATACCTATCTAAACCTGGTTAGGATTGCTTTGGTTTGTTCCCATCTGAACCTGGTTAGGATTGGTTGGCTCCTATCTGAACCTGGTTAGGATTGGTTTGGTTTGTTCCCATCTGAACCTGGTTAGGATTGGTTTGCTCCTATCTGAACCTGGTTAGGATTGGTTTTGTTTGTTCCCATCTGAACCTGGTTAAGATTGGTTTTGTTTGTTCCCATCTGAACCTGGTTAGGATTGGTTTGGTTTGTTCCTATCTGAACCTGGTTAGATTGGTCTGGTTTGTTTTTACTTTACATCTAATAACAGGTAGTCATTTAAGCATGTGCCAGGTTTTGGTGGTGGGGGAAAGTCAGTACCCAAAGAAAAGCCCCTGACCCTGTGGAAAGTACCTGGCAACTGCCAAACATAGGCCTCAAACCCAGGACCCAGTGGTGGAGGGCTCATGATCATAGACAGCCAGACACTTAAACCACAGGGGCCCCTCCTCATAAGAACTTAAGTACCACATTTGGCAACAAAAGCATTAGCAGCTTCCAATCAGAAGTGAAAAACATCTAAGCCAATCAGAAGTCATCCAGCCATTTAGAATTTTGAAATAATCCCAGAAAGTAAAACTTCTCCAGGACCTTCTGTCAATGATCCCTAATAAGTTTCAGCTGAATCGACCAATCAGAACCTGAGTTTGAAATAAGTTTTTAAAATGGCAGTCATCTTGGATTTTCGATTGACCTGCAAAACAACCTTTTACCAGGGCACTGTCGGCAACACTTCAATGAAGTATTTGTAAAATCCCAAAAAGTCTTTGTCTCCGTAAGTTTATCAATTTTCCAGGAAATGAACAATTTTCCCAGTCACCAGGACTCTGCAACCCACTGCGGGTGACACAGGTATACTTCCAGATATCTTGTATCACTTTAAATTATTGCCCACACAAGAATTTACTGACAATTTTGCACACATGACCAAAATAACATGAAGGTCACTGTGACCTAGTACCAAAGCACTGCATATATGCATATTCTCTGTGGGTGAGGCAGGTCTACTTTTCATCGACATCATGAACAGAATCCATCCAAATTACTATTGGAGGAACCAGTACCAATGCAATATAAGTTGTAGTGGAGAAATAATATGATAGTAGTTTTGTCAAAATTTTGTTCAAAGAAGAATAGACACATTATTTCCTTTTTCCTATATCAATTTATTTTCACATGATATTTCTTTTATTTCCAACAATAAAACAACAGCATTGCTTGTTCTGCCAATAAATATGCAAATGTTTTTTATTACAAATTATTTTATTCCATTGATCCGACAAAAGTCGATCTACACTGCTGTCCTCATAAAATGGCCTAAACTTGAAGACAGTACTGTGTTATAACCTACAAGATCTGAATGTCACTTTAAGACTTGTATTGGTTGTTACCAGCAAGAATTCTGAAATCACATTAATAAATATACAAACTGGTCTTCTGTCCGAGCCACAGTCAGTCACTGTGCCCTCAATATTTTATGTATATTGATGGTTATTCCTCAGAGGACATTTAAATCCACCTGTGTAGATGGTAAATTATTAAATCTGTTAACACCTATCTTCACCTTTAGAAAACTCCGGAGGTACATTTAGAAATCAGTTATTTTCAACTCTGATACCTGTATGCTGTAATTAACAAGATACAGAAAACCTTTATACCATAAATGTGGAACATTTTGAAAGCAAATTTACTATGAATTTGGTCTCTCCATCATTTTTGTTTTGTTTTTCTCTCCATCATTTTTGTTTTGTTTTTCAAAACTATTTTTGTTCATGATAGTGCAAATAAGTTACACGCTTCAATGTACAAAATATGCATACAACAAAATGCAGTTCCAAAATAAAATTCACGTCCTTTTGCCCATTCATAGGTACAATGTACTGAAAACATAATGCACTGAATTGCATTGAGTTTAAAAGTTCCAATACCATAATTTAAAAGCACAATTGTCAAACTATTTCTGCGATTGCTAGAAACATTGCTATGACTTTCTCTCAAAGTCCTGCCTTGAACAAGCCATCTGGCTTTGATTCGTGGACTTCAAAAACAAGAAGTTTTTTTACTGATGCCAATTTGTTTCTAAATAGTGGAGAAAACAATGAAATTTCTATGAAAGAGAAATCTCATATATTCAGCTACATTTTACTACCAACACTTGCTCCAAATATACCAACCCCAAAAATCCAATACAGATTTCTTTATCTACAATCATTTGAAGCTGATGAAGTCTAGAATTCTTTCATAAACTGGGGTTGTGGTTGTTGGGAAATATAAATTAATTAAAACTGAATACATGTATTATCTTAAAAATCGTAATTTACATCAGTTTGTAAAAATGCAGCGACACAAAAAGTCTTCATTGAAGACGAGAGAAAAAAGTACCATGAAGTGTGTACTTTATATATACATATGTAAATCAAGGTAGAGTAAACCACTAGATGTAAATCGCATTATTGGTGAGACAAATGAAAGTAACGTTTCTTGTCATGTCCAATATTTCAAAGATAACTCTCTATTTTAATGTATATTTGCCGTTCGAATTAAGCTGTTCGTGGGATTAAAGTTAAAACAGAGTGAAACAACAACTTTTTTGTAAAGCTATCAAATATAATTTGTAAATCAATCAATTACTAAATTGGTTTCAAAACTCGTTATATTTCAGTTTATTCCAACAAAAACTTCTTCAGAGCATGAATGTTGAGGACGGAAACTCATTTTTACACATGCAGACATTTAAAAAGAATCATCCTTCTGTGCTACGATTCATGCGACTACTCGACCATGAAATTGATTTTTAATGATTTCAGTTATGGAGTTTATACACAACATGGAATCAGCATTACCTTTTGAACAAGCTTTAGGAATCAGTTCCAATTTTCGGAACATTAAATGTCAAAATATTCACCAATATGGGTAATCAACAGATGAAAATAAATAAAAACAAATATGTCATTTTAAATAGTACAGAATGTTACACAATGGATCAAATCTTTATAATCCTTTGATTTTGTTCAGCAAAAACACTCCATCCTACAGGGTAGAGTTTCTTTAAAAGCAAACAAGAGCAATCTAAACGAGTATTTCGTCTGGGACACTTACCTTAGTTCCAAGCAATTTGTAAATGCAGCCAAATGAAAAATGCTTTTTAAATACTTGACTGTAAATTATAACGGAACACCAGAGCAAATGACCGCTATGGTTTCACTAGAACTTGTAAAGATACAACGGGCTAAATCCTAGTGTAAATGCTAAATCACGCTTCCAGACATCTACTAGAGGTCATTGTAGCAGATCTTTTTGTTTGCCATACAGTACCCATGTTAGAACTAGACCTGTCAGTCAGACTCGTGTACTTTGTATTGTCTTTACTGGTATGAATTTTCAGAATTAGAAAATATTCATCATTTTACCATGCATTTGCAGATATATATCTATATATTGCTAACAGCTCAAGTGTCTTGGTAAAAACAATCTGTCATATCAACAATACGGAACGGCCAAATTGTTCAAAGTATTTATCACATCAGAGATCTTATCCAGGTCCTCCAATAAACGAGTTAAACTCATGGAAACAAAAGTTTCAAACATATTTCTGATGTTTCCATGGTGCAGATACATTTGTCCTAAATTTCAGTTCCTAAAAAATGTCCGTCATCATTTTTTCTGCGTCTGTTGTAGTTTTGCAAGCTTTGCATTGTCCTTCTTCACAATCTGTGTCAACATCTGCTTGTACGCGAATATATCTCCTTCCCATTTCGTAACTGTCTGTTTCTCACATATCCAAATTTCCTCGACAACCTGGAATGAGTAAGAATGATTTTCTGATCATACTGACACCTAATATAAGGTCCCTTTCGCGTATCCGGTTCAACTAGTTGAAACGGTTTAAACCAGAAAAAAAATGACAGGCACAGATCAGAACTGAGGCTGACCTCAGGAATATTCGGCACATGAAGATCGTGGGGTTCAGATGTGCCTGACCGAAACTAAAATGCTGACCATTGCTAGTTTGTGTTATTTCTTTATAAAACAAGGTTAAGCCACACATAGATTTTAACATACGTTGTATAATTTAGTGGATGCGTGAAAGGACACATCATTCTTTACATATTGTTATTTATTCTTCAAAACTGTGCATTTCTAAGCTCTGCCTATAGTTCGTTCCTAGTGCATTTGGTTATCGTGGAATATTTCTGAGCTACCTAAACTATTTTAACCGGGATACGTAAATGTAACCTGAAGTATAAGAGAGATTTTACATTTCATCTTTAATACAGATTTGAGAATCTCCCCTGAACACCATTCAAGAAAATTTGAAATAAGTAGGTCCGAGAGGGATCCTTTTATTGTATGCAGTGCATAGTATCCCTTTCACTCAAATGTATGATTTTCGATAGCTGCTGGAGATTTTGGATCATTTATATGCTCAAAGGTGTACCATGTTACACTTTAAATCATTTCACTATAGTTGAAACTGAATCTGTTAGGGGTTTTATATATATATGTCTTGTACACAACTTTTTCTGCTTCAGAAGTGGTCAAGTGTGATCTTTGACCCTTAATCCTTGACAAGAAGCCACAAAAACCTAATCAATTTTATCAAGCGTAAAATATACACAGAGTTTGTTCAGGGGTTTTACTAGATACCTTGTACACAAGCTTTTTACTACAGCACGACAAAGTGACAGATACTACACTGGCAAAGAGATTAGTATCTACCCCAATTACCTCATACATGTAAGATAATGAAAATTTGTTAAAAACTTGAACAAAACTGTAAGTCGTAAGTCGTGGCTAAAAACATTTACCTGTGATATAAGTCTGTAGTCGTGGCTAAAAACATTTACCTCCGATATAAGTCCGATGTCGTGGCTAAAATTATTTACCTCTGATATAAGTCTGTCGTGGCTAAAACATTTACCTGTTATACAAGTCTGTAGTCGTGGCTTAAACATGTACATTTACCTGTTATACAAGTCTGAAGTCGGGGCTAAAACATGTACATTTACCTGTTATACAAGTCTGTAGTCGTGGCCAAAACATTGACCTGTGATATAAGTCTGAAGTCGTGGCCAAAACATTTACCTGTGATATAAGTCTGTAGTCGTGGCCAAAACATTTACCTGTGATATAAGTCTTTAGTCGTGGCCAAAACATTTACCTGTGATATAAGTCTGAAGTCGTGGCTACAACATTTACCTGTGATATAAGTCTGATGTCAAGGCTAAAACATTTACCTGTGATATAAGTCTGAAGTCGTGGCTAAAACATTTACCTCCGATATCGTGGCTAAAAACATTTACCTCCGATATAAGTCCAATGTCGTGGCTAAAAACATTTACCTCCGATATAAGTCTGATGTCATGGCTAAAACATTTACCTGTGATATAAGTCTGAAGTCGTGGCTAAAACATTTACTTCCGATATCGTGGCTAAAAACATTTACCTCCGATATAAGTCCGATGTCGTGGCTAAAAACATTTACCTGTGATACAAGTCTGTAGTTGTGGCTAAAACATGTACATTTACCTGTTATACAAGTCTGAAGTCGTGGCTAAAACATTTACCTGTGATATAAATCTGATGTCATGGCAAAAACATTTAACTGTGATATAAGTCTGATGTCAGGGCTAAAGCATTTACCTGTGATATAAGTCTGAAGTCGTGGCTAAAACATTAACTGTGATATAAGTCTGAAGTCGTGGCTAAAACATTTACCTGTGATATAAGTCTGAAGTCGTGGCTAACTAACATGAGGCCGCCATCAAAGTCATTGATTGCCTCTGCCAGTGCATCGATGGTCTCAATGTCCAAATGGTTGGTAGGTTCGTCCAACATCAATAGATGTGGGTTCTGCCACGCTAACCATGCAAATATCACACGACATCTCTGGCCATCCGACAGATTTCTGATAGGGCAAACCTGCAATGATCAAATACAATAGATTTAGATTTATTAATTTTCTACTACAAATGTATGTTTGAAAATAAAAATAGTTGTCAGCAAATTTGCAAAGGCTTGGGGCTATATGAATCATTTGATTAAAGATGATTGTTCGACTATAAAATTGATCAAGTTAAACCAAGTTCTACTGAAGATGTGCTGCACAGCAAAAAATATTGTGCAATTTTAATTATGTGACCAAGAAAATGACAAACACAACCAAATCAATTATATAATTTGAGATAAGGTTAAGATTTTTTTTTGGCGTTACTCGAACAACAGGTCTTCCTGAAATGATCAGTACGAGTGTCTGTACCTGTTGCATTCCTGACAGACCGTATCGGCCGATGATTTTTCTCATTTCCTCTCGCTCCTTGACATCTGGGTAACACTTTAACATCCAATCCAGGGCAGTCATGTCTAGGTCTAACTGTTCTTGTAAGTGCTGGAAAAAAAGAAACATTCAATGTAGAGTAGAAGGCTCAGTAGTAGAGAATGTTTGTATTAATATCCTTGAACGGTTGTATATCCTCGACTCAAAATGTCCTCTGCAGTAGAACTATTCTACTGCTTTATCATGTAATTACCTCATGGGAGAAGGAATGCCCTACATTTAAATTCCTTCTATTCTGGCGAGGACATCAATACATTCAGGGTTGACACCAGAACAGCACATCTCATGATACAAATGTACCGTACAATTCATCACAAATTTCACCTGTTAAGGTACCCAAGTACATGTCAAGGTTCATTTGATACTTTCAAACAGTAATTCATGACTCTTATATAACTGTTTTAATCGAGATAAAGCATTTTTCTTAACTTTAGTAATGTCATATGGATGACGGAAACCTATTTCCACCATCAAATTAAACAGCATTGGAAATATGAGGATGAATCATTTCCTCATACCTAACAGAACTTTCTGGGAATTTTCTAAAAATAATCTAAAAAAATCCTTGCAGTAGGGTATACTTTACCTCATACATGACCCATCCCATATAAACATTTCCTGGTTTGATCTAACCAACCTTTCATATTTACTAAATTGATCGAAAAAAACATGTCTTCATGGTAACTTCTCCTAAGGTTCTGGAGTCATTAGAATTCTCTGAATTTGCTTTATAGCTCACAGGGTCCTTACTAGTTCCATTATATTGAATTGATATTTTTGAAATTCTGATTTGTTTTCATCCAAAGTCACTTCTTCATTACTTGAAACTTTTTACACATATTTTTTGTGACCAAATGAAGCATTTTGCTACCAAGAAATACGAATAATACCAGTACACTTGACAACAGGGAAAGCAAACTCTAAACTCTTGAGCAGTACACATGACTACAGGAANAACCCCCCCCCCCCCCCCCCCTCCCCCCCTGAAATATGATAGATGGTTAACTGATGCATGTTAACCCTCAGAAAAGTCAACAGAGATTTTCACCTCTGAGGTTAATCGCTGCGAGATTAGAAGATAGAAGATAGAATTCTTTACCTGATGATAACGTCCAATCTTCAAATGTGAGTGTCGTCGAATGAGTCCATCGGTTGGTATTAACTGTGGAAGACCAAATTACGAATGAACAGAGAGCACATAAAAAGTGTGTCAGAAATTGAAAGAAAGTTTTCAGGAGGAAGGATCAAAGATTTAATACAGCAATACAAAGCATCAATATTATGAACTGGTATTTCATACTTCAATGGTGAACAGTCCATTTTGTTCCAGAGAGGGGTCAAAGAGCCCATCTACATCGCGTCCACTAGTCCAGACCTGAACCAAGACCGAGGGCGCTACGCCACCACCAGCCTGATTCAGTCACACAACTTAGGGATAATCCCTAGGTCACATGACTGAATAGCCAGACTAGTCTGAAGCACCCTACTAATCTCAGTAAGGGCTGTAAAAGGCAACCAGGAGGTAGTCGAAAGCTACCCTTGAGTAGTACTTAGTTTGAGACTTTGTTAAATGTTGGTTTAATAAGTACATTTTGTGCTTGGTTGACCAAAAGCAAGACTCTCACTAATGTAATTAAATTCAAACTAACACTTTATTCGATCATTACTTCCGTTATCTTTCAGCAATGCCTTACCTCGCCAGCGATCAGTTTGAGTAGCGTAGATTTTCCAGCACCGTTCGGTCCCACCAAGGCCACCTTAGTGTCAAGATCAATTCCAAAGTCTAGATTCTTGTAGATTTCCGGCTTTAAATGAAATGTAATTTTAATTGAAAGTATGTCTTTATAGATTAAACTCAGAACTTGCACATTTTCACACTACAGAATTAGTCTGAATTCAACAAACAATTATTTTTTATTAGGTCTATGCTGGTTAAAATATCAATCACTTTCCATCATACCGTCCAGTGATGAAAAAGGATAAATTTTCACAGAAAGGAAATTGACACATTTTTTTTTGCATTTACTGCAATTTAGCAGGGTAATAAGCACAGGCCAACACATAGATCTTATAAATGATCATGCTTAACAGCTAGGTTAAACCTTTCACTATTGTAAACTGTAATGGACTCATCCAGATCAGTGCAAGGCAGAGTCTACTAAAGTTACATACCTAGGGGTGAAAGGGTTAACGTTACAATTTCCATTTTAATTTTAGTTTTATAAATGAAAATGTGACATCTAGGAGGAACCCTTATTTCTAGGAATCAAATCTCACCTTGTTGTCTGCGTACTTGAAGCTGACATGTTGTACCATAATGATTGGCGGTGGGATTTTACCACAGCTCGGGAAGTAGAATGTCATCGTCTGTAAAACAAGATATTTCAATCATTTCACAGTTCCGTTAAATGTCTGGAGTCAGCTGTATGAAGCTTCACTAACAACAACGATTGCTGTAAAGCAAAATGTTTAGTCCTCATCTTGTCCTTTTGGCTTGGACTATTTTTTTTAATTTTTTTTTTACCCAAGTTGATGGAATATTGTTTATACGAATGGCACCAACGTAAGTATTTCAGTCCTTATCTTATCATTATGGCTTCCCAATTATTTCAAAATACTTTTGTAAGAGTTGATGCAATGCTGTATATAATGAAAATTCACCTCCTGACTGAAATATAAATTGACCTAATCTCATTTTCATGGCCTTGTCTCTATTAAAAAAAACAATTCTATGAAATTGATTGAAAGTTTTAAATAACTTAGTTTTGCCTCATGAATGAAATTTGAAATTTACCTTATCGGCGCCAACTCTCTCCGTTAGACCACCATCCACCATTTTCTTTAACGTCTTTTCTTTACTCTGCGCTTGTCTAGCCAGTTTGGCACTACCGTGTCCAAATCTGGCGATGTAATTCTGGGAACAGAAAACACACATCATACAACAACAGCTTTACTATTTACCCCTCCAATCAACAGCACTGTTCTGATTCTATCAAAATCCTTCCCCTAAATAAATCATGTAACAAATAAATCTGCTGATTCTACCAGGACTCAAATCGCTTCTTTTTTCGAGCATGATGCCAGAGTATAAAACATCAGCGTTTTACCGCGAGTCTTTACTCGGCACTGCCTCGAAACAGTAGTAAGTCAAAGCAGGTTTCATCATAGTCCTTCAAACTGTCCTTAACTCATTCACCCTTGAAATTTCTTCATGGACTATTCCAACATTTGAATTGGATGAGTTCAAATGTGTCTTCAAGGGTGAATGAGTTAAATATCTACACTTCCTTTTCATGTGCTTTTGGGCTTTTTTCAGGGGTGTTCAATTTCACTTTATACCAGACACCTACAGCCAATAGCTTTTATGTCAGTATGAGTGTAAATTTCCTAAACCTGCTGGAAGGAGCACACTTGCAAAATCTGTCTGCAGACAAGTTTTTGAAATATGAAATTTTAACCAACTAGAATTATGATAGTAAGGATATCATCTGCTTATTTCTATGAATATTGAGAACAAAACTTGGTTTGAAAACTAGAAAAGGTTCTACAAAGTCTCTCAAAACCATCCCTTTTTAATATAAGCCATACCGCAACCCAGGATCACAGTACAGTGACTTACAGTCACCATAAAGAAGAACTCGGGTAAAATTATATCGCTTCCGAGTTTCGAGCACCGTGTCAGAGCTACAACCCGACCAAGTCGGGGAACAAGACACTCTACCTCGGCCTTTTATGTCATCATCGTTCTTAAATGAACCATTGCAATTGCTAAGTTGATTCAGACTTCCTGCAGTATTATTTTAATAATGTATTTGCAGAAATTTTAGTTCGCAAATTTCCATTCACCTTTTTGATTGCATAGTATATATGTAGTATAACTGTCCAGACTGAAAATGGCAGGCACTTTTGACCATCCAAAATTTTATTTTTCTCCGAGGCCCTCTATGCAAATAATAACATTTATATTAGACCCCTGATATAAAGCCCTTGTTCTCCTGACTGACCTTAGAGGTTCTATAATATTAAACAGTATACTGGATAATTGTTGAATGATGGGTTCCTAAATTATGATACATTGATGTTTAGAAAACAGACATTGTTTTGTTTTGATAGGTCATTCAGGGAACTCAGGTAAAATTATATCGCTTCCGAGTTTCGAGCACCGTGTCGGAGCTACAACCCGACAAAGTCGGGGAACAAGACACTCTACCTCGGCCTTTTATGTCATCATCGTTCCCTGTATTTGACCATTTAACTTTTAACTTGTTTTATTAACTTAAACTATCCCTTTTGAAATCTATACACTGCAAATAACATGATGACTTTGATCCTTCATCATTTTATTTCACTTGGCAAATATGAAACGTTAGTTTCAAATATATTTTTTGTGTTTGAATAATATTTTTTCTTCTTCTCAAAATCAGAGATTGTCGACACCAAGACCCAAGACTGACCTTCATATGAGAGATTTGGTCCTGTTCCCACTTGTAACGTTTTTGTTGATTTTCTTCCAATTCAAATCGTGTCTGAATGTATGCGTCGTAGTTACCCTGGCAACAGAAATAAAACTTAGCTCAGCAACGAAATAATAAATTTGATATAATTTGACCATGGTTTAGGTCCTTGCCTCAGTTATAAGTCATAAAAATTTAGAAACACCTAACATTAATCATAAAAGTTGAATTAATGTTATTGTATGTAATGTCTTTGAATCAGAAGATACTTCAGACCAAATTTAAAAGTGTTACATTTAGTTATTTTCAAAATTGAAATGAAAATTGGAACAATCCTTCGATTCAAAGCCTTTTCAAACAAGTAGAGAAACCTTGTGGACATTGATATAATGGGGAAAAACAATCATCCATTTCTGTGCGAAGTATGCCAGAGAAATCTTGCCCTTCAGCACGAGATTCTCATATATAATTCTAACCCTTGGGCCAAACCAAGCCACAGGTTAGACAATCAACAATATTCCCCCTTGGGTTGAGATTTGTCTGCTGGATATGGTTTTGGAAGATTCTATTAATCACAATTCTTCACTTACTCCAAAATATTTCAGCTTCTGTTGATGGAAGTGGATGATGGTGTTGCAGACGCCGTTCATGAAATCCTGGGAGTGAGATATGACCACTAATATTCGTTTGTATCTGAAAGGAATTGTGATAGCTAGTCAGAAACCATTGGCTTGCACAAGACTTAAACCAGTTAACTCATTCACCCCTGAAGACACATTTGAACTCCTCCAATTCAAAGGTTGGAATAGTCCATTATGAAATTTCAGGGGTGAATGAGTTAAACATACCTGTATTCAAGGTAAAACAGTACAGCTGTATCAGTCATAATGATGAAAGTTCCACTTCCTGTTTTTCATTCTTTTTGACTAGGGATTATGTGCTCCATTATATCTTTAATATGAGGCAAGAGAAAGGTTTTAGCCCTGGCCTAGAGTTACTTTACTTTTTGAGGTATTTTATCTGATTTTGCTATTGTGAGGGATGTACTATTCCTATTCAATTGCAATTGTTTTGGTTGTTTATCTTTTTAAATGCTCAAATTTTTGGACGACAATCTTGTACAAATTCATGATGAGATGAGATTCATGCGAAACACCTCTGTAGAAAAGAACTTGAAATGATAACTTCATGAAATTGAGTGTTATTATTGACAATGGTAATATATTTCAACTTGATGCCAATCCTTACCCAATGTTCCCACTGATTCGGGGGTATATTTGATACATTTTCATGATTCTGTACCCCTAAGTACCTAGTTACATATATAGGGCAATTGTTGAAAACTTGGGGCACAACCAATTGTTTTGGGGATGGAAAACCCTCATCTAGGTTCTTTTGGGAACACTGTTACCTTAATTACAATTTATTTTTTACATAACTGGTTCAGACTAAACTTTTCAAGCTTATCAGCCCAATTCCTACATTATACATGTGCACTTTTGTATTCTTCCAAAATGGCTGCTACGAAACTCACGCTTGAAGTTCTTCTTCAAGCCAGACACAGGCCTGAAGATCGAGGTGGTTCGTGGGCTCGTCAAGTAGAAGCAGTGAGGGTTTAATATAAAGGGCCCTGGCCAGGGCTATCCTCATCCGCCAGCCTCCGGAGAAATTTTTCACCTTGGTATGCTGCATCTCCTTTGTGAAACCCAGACCAAAAAGGAGATACCCTGCACGTGCCTCGGCTTTGTCGGCATCCATATCCTCCAATCTGTCGTAAACGTCCATCAGACGCTCATGGGATTCTGCAAGACAAAATAACATATTAACATCAATTTAAACGTCAGTGCAAAGGAGTGCTGGTCAGAGGCTAATGACGGCCTTGTAACAAATCCTGATTTCCTATCTTAAATTGGTGGTTGAATTGTCATTTAAATTTACAAGCCGAGATTTACAATTTGTTTAGATTGTGAAATGTTACGGAGATTTTGGAAAAATAGCACCAACATTTTCCATCTGGGAATGATGCGAACTTTTGACTCTAAAATGGCCCCAGAAAAATTTTGGGCCGCAATTTCCTTTGATTTTAACTTCTCCAATGCAAACACAACGTACCATTTTAAGGACAGATTTCTATATTTTTCTGTGGGAAGCACAGCACCTCTACCCCCTAACATGTCTGTTGTGACTATCTGACTAATACCTTCAGTGTCCTGACTTGCCAAGACCTCAGCCTCATGTTCCAGCTTCAGACGTTCCTTATCCACCTCGATCACACACTGCAGGGCTGTTTTATCGCTGGGTGGCATCTCACGACTCAGGTGAAAGATGTCCACGTGATCAGGTACGGGCACCTCTCGACACTCCAGAGCAAACAACAAGGAGGACTTTCCTGTAGATAATTAATTTTGAGTTAAGTGAAATAGATTAATATTAAAGGTCGATTCTAGTTCTGACAATATTTAAACACGTAGATGTTTCTTGAAAATTGTAATTTGAAACAGTCAATAATATAGGTCTACTTACAGATAATTTGTTGTTATACTATTGTGGGAATGAAGCAAAGTGCCTTCAAATTTCTGGAAAATGAACTCAAAATGCAAAATGGGGGGGGGGGGGGGGGGGAGGGTGTAAATATTCTGGAAAATGCAAAGGCAGGGGGATTTCTCATCTTCTGGAAATATTTTTTTTGCCAATAGGACTAGAAATATTGATTATCCCAAAATCTGTTTTATTTGCGTCATAAAAATAAATTTAGAATACTGAGTTCTTTCAACTGCTAGAAAAATTGTTGAACAATAAATAACATTATTTCTCATTGAGCACAAATTTGGGCCCAAAATAAGAAAAATCTACTGTAATAGGAAATACTAATAAACTAGATAAATCAGTGTTAGCTTACCACATCCATTCAAACCAATCAGCCCATATCGCCGCCCCACATTAAGTTCTAGACGTGTGTCGACAATTAGCTCAGCTCCATGGAAGGTGAGAGATAAGTTATGTATATGGACATCACGACTATCGGGATGAGATGCTAACACTCCCGTTACAGATCTGTGCTTAGCTTTCAAGTCCATTTCCATCATCTCACTTGTTATTTCATGTACACCATCTGGAAGAGAAAAGGATTCATCAAGATATTTGAATTCAACCTGCAAGTTATTCTTATATTGGTAAATATTCATATAAACTAGTGATGGACTGATGATTGATTATTATCGAAAATCAATCGGTTTGCCCTTTCTGATTCCGATTGTCGATTACAAACTCCATAATCGGTTCATCATCATTGAAATTGAAGTCTCTCATGTAAAGTTTGCTTGTATGTTAGTCATATATTCTATGATTTATACTAGATGAATGATAAAAATGCATTAAATTTGCTTGATATCCATTTCTGATAAAAGAACGAAACCTAATGTTTATTATAGTTAACAACTCTGTCTATTGATGTATTGATCATCGATCCGTTTACTACTTACGATTACAAACTGATTATTCATTATGATTTTATGATAAATATAAGTCAACACAAGTTAAAAATACAGACCTCTCACATACTTAATATGCATGGTCTTCGTTATGTTATTGCAATACAAATATTGTTTGGTTTCTGGTAATCCAGGTTTTATTTATTGGTAGGTTCTTACTTGAAGCTCCATTTGTTGCCACTCCGTTCGTTTCTTGTTCGTTTTCACCATCTTCTCCATTTTCTGTTGTCCTCTTCTTTCCACGCTTTGCAGCATCTTTCTTCTTCTGATCTCTCTTCTTTTTTGCGTCTGAAGGCATGTTTATTCTGTAAATATAAATTATTAGGTGATATTTGCTGCACATGAATACATATATATTATATAAACAGTAAAACACATCACAGAGGCAGGGTGTCGGTTCAATAGACACTGTTCAAATTTCTTTTTTTAGACCAAACAAAAAATATAGTCTTTCCGTTAACCCTGACTACTCTATTTTTTTTGCGCCTAGTAGGGCTGTCACAATATATTGGAAAACAGGTATAATGCACGACACAGGTTTATCGTAATACAGAGATGAAATATTGCTGTATCGCAATATTTTTCAAAAGTATATTTTTATTTATCTGCTTTGTGTTTTAACTTTTCAAATTATTACAAATTCGAACAGAAATGCCAACAAGCATAAAGCAGGCTTTTAAAAGTGAAAGTTTTGTAATCGATGGTTGGTCCGACAAAAATCTTAAATCTATGTAATCCATATTATATATGATTAAGTTTGATAATATTCTGACAACTTATTATAAAATTGAGCACATCCGTCCTATGACAATATATTGGGATGTATCACAATATATTCATTTTGTATTGTAATATATCGTGATACACTCTTGGCATATTGTGACACCCCTAGTGCCTACCCAAAACTTTGTAGGGCAATTTTCTAAGAAGTACTGGTAAAGTCAAGATCATTCTTCTATATCAACCACTTAAAATTATTTGTTAAAATAAAATGTGTTACCTACCAAGTGTCCTGTCCTACCTACCCTAAATATGTTACAGGAAACACACATATTTTTTTGTCTGGCCTAAGCTATCAACTGGAATGCTTCTACGGACAGTTTCCGTCTTATATAATTACTTTTTGTGTAAATTTCCCCATACATACAGTAAATCTTCAACAAAATCTTGGGCGACGAAAAACAAACATAGTTGACAAAATCTACCCTGTTTCGTAACACTACTTTATTAATGTATTCACACAACAAATCACCGATAATATTTGTATTGGTACAGTGTGCTGACAGAAAAATAACCTTTCTAGACATGTATGATAAGTTAATGTGGACAAGCTTCATTAACTCATTCACCCCTGAAATTTCATAATAAACTATTCCAACCTTTGAATTGGAAGAGTTCAAATGTGTCTTCAGGGGTAAATGAGTTATACAAGAAAACACTATTGAAGTGCTGAATACTACTATACAAAATAGTTCATGGCCCGGTAACAAACACTGACCCTTCATTCATTGAACCCAAAAATCAACGAACTCTTCAAAAACATTAGAAATCATCAGAGATGACAGTGAATCTCTTAAAAGGTATGTTTTTAAGAAATATATCACAATGGAACATACTACCTTCCGAGTGCTTACAGATAATATCCAAGAATTTCAACATTTAATAAAACATTAGTTTATAAATAGCCCGCATAAACCTGCCTGAGTCTTAATCTTCAAAGTGAAGTCAACTCATGATCAGTACCTTACAGATATATACCAGATGCCACACCTGGTTGGACATTTTCCAAAAAGACAAAATGGCAGGGATGTTCTCTCTATCTATGCCAAATAATTTATCTTAACCAGAGAAAATAGTTATTTTGGAATAATATAAACATTGATATCGCAGAACATCGAAATGTTACTTAAAACACAATGTACAATGTGACGAAATTGTAACCTATTCGATGCAGTGTATACACTCTATCGATAGGCAAAACTACCTGGGTGAAGTGACATAAAGAAATATACAATTTCGTCACATCGCTTACTCATTCACCAAAAAGAAGTAGATTTGCAAAAATAATCAGTTTCTTTCATATCAAATAATCAAAATAACTATAATCAAGTCATCGTAATTTTTAAATAAATCGGTACATATTATAGTCAAAGTAGGCTTAAATTTGATGAAAGCTATTAATAGCTAAAATGTGATTTTTTTCCCCAAAATATTTTTTTAATGATTTCATAAATGACACTGTACACTGGACAAAAATACACGATCGAAAACACATCTATGACATTTAAATAGATCCATTGTATAAATATCATTGTTTCAGTGTCCATCCCGCTAAATAAAATGGCGATTTGATTGAATTGACGTCAGCATGCGACATTCACCGCTTAGTATCCGGATTACCACTTAATCGGCAAGTAAAAAGGGTAACTTGTTCAATTAAAAACTCAAAATAACAATAAAAATTGTCTAAATATCGAGTTAATTCAGTTGGGTCGAACTCAGATCAACATGAAAAATTACAGCTGCCGGCAAAAACACGCAAAAGAAAATGTCTGTGCATGGCGACACACGTGAACAAATCATGATCTCAAATCCGACCATAAAACGCACAATCAGCTTATGAAATCTGTTTAAAAACGATCAAATATACTTATACTATACAATCCTAGATTTCAACTGACCTTATGTAGTCAAATCTTTGTCAATATTCAACAAAATTCTTAATGAATGACGGTAGCGCCAAAACACATGCCTTCCTTCCGTCAATGGTTCGTTTCCGGTGCGGGCGACCCAATGACGATTCATTGAGAAATTTATTCGACCTGATAATCAAATCATAATAATACAATAAAAATTAACAAAATATTTTTTGAAAACGAAATATTGTATTCTTAACATAAATAGAGAACAAAAATGTAATTTATGTCATGCCTTGTTAATGCATAGAGGTGGTTCCGGAGACGGACTATTGCGGATGTTAAAAAAAAGGAAAAGGTCGAAACAAGATATAAAAAAGACTCAAAACAAAAATTATAAACAGAGAAACCTACTGAGTTTTTGGTTTTCTTTTTTCTTTTCGATTTTTTGTCCGGAATATGAGTAAACTGGTTATCCCTTTCTTGACCACTAAGCTGGTCCGGATATATTTTACGCACCTGTTTTTCCGGTTTTGGTTTAGAATATTTGCTTCGGGACTTTTATTATTTATACCGGAAGTTGTGTTTAACTGGTTTGTGCAATCCTCGCGTTGTAATTTGTGTGTAAGAATTTGACGACTTTTATGTTATTTAACGAGCCTTTTCTTGGTGCAAACGAAAATGATAGTACGAAATAGTAATGGAATTTTATTGTCGACAAATGTCATGCCAGTCACGTGAGCAACAGGAAGAAGTGCTGCTGTTCTGCAGTGTTGAATAAGATTTTGATTTTTACGTTTTAGGCACCTAGAATATTCTCATATTTATAATGTTCGCCGGGTTATTTTGCGAAGAAGAACAAGCTGGGAGTGGATTGGAGTCAAAACATGTGAAAAGTAATCCAAATATTCCATGTCCTCCCCGTCCTCGTATCCAGTGCGGACTGGCCGGGATCCGGAATCAGGGGGCTACCTGTTACCTCAATTCTCTCCTGCAGACTCTTTTCCTGACACCCGAGTTCAGAGGTACCAATTATTGATCTTATCATTACAGAATGAGTTGCTAACAAGAGGCTAGTTATGATGTCATTTGTACTTTTTCTTTATCTTAGCCCGAGTTTCCTCTGGCACTGACACCAGACTTGGACATTTTGACAGATAAATTAAATGCCCACCAGACATTTATCTGTCATTTTTTTCTGGTCAGCGCCCTGCCCTTTTCAAAACCCAGCTGGAAGACTGGACTAATTGCTTTCAAATTGAGAAAAAATACTATAGTATTTTAATTTCATTTTGATATGGCCAAACTGCTTCAATAGTAAAAACATATATTCCTGAATCTTTAATTGTTTCTCTTTGATTATTTCAGAAGCTTTATTTGATCTTGGTGATGAGGAGCTGGGGCGACTGGAAGACAAGGATCTAGCTGGTAGTAAGGTCTGTATGGCTCTCATCATAATGGGTACATTACATTGAATAATTTTTAGAAAATGTTCGACCTTATAAGTTAAAGGGGTCCGTTTAATAAACCCCTTTTATGCTCACACTGGTCTAAACCATCCATGTCCCTTTGAGTTCAAACTTACCTCTCACATATTTGTGCAATCTTTCAAAGAATGAATAAAATAACTTTACAGAGACAATTGGCCTAATTTTGAATCAGAAATATGATGCTAAACCACTGGCTTACATTAAGAGGAAATGCTGTGCTTGATGCCTTTGGCAAGGCATTTTAGTGAGATTGCACTATAAAGTCGGCATCAGATCTGCGCTTTCACAAGGAGGCAAGCACAACAACATACCCTGTCTCCTGCATACACACACACAAGCATGCAAACAATACACAAACCAATCATTGCCATGTAATGTAAACACTTAAGGGCACAAAGCCTTTGGTCAAAACACTTCAGATTATATTGGCATATAAGTGAAGAAAGCAACATTTTATGTGTTTTAATTAAGCAAACCCATCCTCTATCCCAGAAAAAAAAGGTTGGGATGCACTTTAAATGGAAGGTGCACTTATAAGGTCGAAAATAGTCAAATAAATTTTAATCAGTTTGGATATATAGATACATGCATCAAGATTGATTAATTTGAAAAATTACAAAAAAAGGTTAAATTGTTTTGTTCTTTAATCCAAAGATTTAAAATCCTCTCTAACTTAAGGCTTTTGATATTTTGCTATTTTGATATAAAAAAAAATAGAAAAATAAGTTTCATGAATAATTTTGAATCATTATAATTAGTGTTAAAAACATGACACTTGTGATGAAAATTGCATGGCTCCCAACTAAAAATCAGAGATGTGGCTATATGCATTCATTATACAATCATTTGAAATTCAGTTTAAATTTCTTGCCTCCACACAGGTAAGGGTGATTCCCATACAACTACAGAAGCTGTTTGCCAGACTGTTGCTTAGCGACCAGCAGAGTGTTCCGTCTGTAGACCTTACTGAGAGTTTTGGATGGACAAACAATGAGGTATGATGATTGACTGAACACTGTGTACAGCGAAGCCTTGTTATACTGCCATAGCGTGTCTGGTGAAATTTCGCCTTTGAAATGGATATGAGCAAGTATCAAGGGAAAGCATAAAAAGGTGTTAAGGAAAAAGGAAACCTTGAAATTTGTTGGTGATAGATGAGGTATTATATCAAAGTTTTACTGTACTTGCAATGTACATGTAGGTTAGTCATTAAGACATTGATGGGATGGACATTTTTTGCATGTTGTTATTACAGAATGTATTTCTTTAAAAAAATGTCAACTTTCATGACATTCTTAAAACTTGAAATTCAATTCTTGAATATTTACTTATCCCTGCTTAATGAAGATGGCAGTGGATAAAGAAAAATTCTCTTCCCACATTGTCACTTAATTTTAAATCTTCAGCATTATAGTGATTTCATTGATTCATATTCAGTATGGTGAAAAAAGTTTTAAAAATTCTATGTCATTCCTTGACAAGGTTTTAACTCTGTAAATGACTGACACATAGTTGTGCTTAATCCTAATTGTGTCAGTCATTGACGTATGTTTTCGTATTTTCCTAAATCCTAGCTATGTCCTTCTTGTACACAATATTGTCCTAAAATCCCCATTGTGTCAATTATTGACGCGATATTTTTATAAATGAAAAAAAGTAATTTTTGAATTTTGTTTTATAGGAGCTCCAGCAGCATGACGTCCAGGAATTGAACCGTATCCTGTTTAGTGCTATTGAAGAATCACTGGTCGGCACCCTGGGAACCGACCTCATCAGCAAGCTCTATCATGGCACAGTCGTGAATCAGGTAGTTAAGTTAACCCTTTCACCCTTAAAATACAAAAAGGGGAGTGGAGACACAACGTCCTCGATATCTTAAGTTTCTTCAATTTCTTGGGTCATTAGTACAGTGGATACAACAACGGTATACAGAGTTCACACTGGTAGTAAGTAACAATCCAGGAATAAGTGCGAACAACACGGCAAATCTCTTCCAAACGTCAGAATTTATTGCAGCAACATTTACATGTTTCGACTCAGAGGGGAGTCGTCATCAGAATATCAATGGTATTGTGACGTCATTGATACGTGTGTAAACAACCTTTCACCCTTATGTAAGTTGAGTGAACTCTACCATGCATTAATTTGGAAGAGTCCATTATGGTCTACAGTGGTGAAAGGGTTAAGCCTTCCTTATTTGAGTGACTCCTTCTCGTTGAGGAATCCCTGGTTGGTACTCTTGGCAGATCATGTAGTTTATCTTACTTAGGCCATTTTTTTTTGTCTGTTTAGGGTTGTATGGGCAAAAAAACAAGGGTAGGTAGGTCTACATTTTTTTTAAAAGAATTGTGTACCATGTGGTCATGTGATTATGACCCTACTATTGTATGTAAAACGAAGAATTACATAAACAAGGTTCATTTGTAGGCAAATTGTGCTCCATATGCTGACATTTAGCACCAACACGGAGCTGGAAGCCATTTTGAAAGGCAATGAACCTTCTAAAATTCGAAAATCAGCTGTATTTTGATTATTATTTTTTTCATCAAAAAGTTTTGGGTCGGAGGGTAAAAAGCTAGTGTCGGTCGGGAACCCTAAACAGACATACATTTTTTTTGGCCTTAGTTAATAATCTGAATGGTTTTCTTTTATTTATTCAACCTCATGTATTTTACAACAGTTATATAACAAGTGCTATCAATTTCTATTAATCACTCTTATTGGCCTGAATGGTAATGTGCAAGGGGTCTGAATATGGGAGGAAATGGGTATACCCGTTTCTTTTCATGTCTGGTTGGGGATTCAATCTCTGTAAAAGGTAGTGTAATACCTGTAGTGCGTAGTTAACGAAGCCATGTAACAGATGATTTAATCAGATTGCCTAATTAACAAAATGTCTTTCGTTCGTTTCAGATTATCTGTACCGTCTGTGGGAAGATTAGTGAGAGAGAGGTAAGCTTGTTTTTTGTTTCAAGGGAAGTATTGATAAGTCTGCATTAATTTATTTTTGATTCAAGGGAATTGTTTAAGTTTAAATCAGGGTTTGAAGTTGATATTAATATGTTGTTTACCGGTATTTTTGATTCAGAGAAACTGTTAGATTTATGAATTACATACAGTGCTTCATCCTCGATATCCAGGGGTTACGCTCAATTTCGCTCTCTACATCCCTGGAATATGTCATGGCAAAAATTAAGGCTCGGTGTGTGCAACCTTGTTGAAGAGACAAGAAGGCTAGTTCGATCCTTTGATGTACATCAAAAGAATCTTGCGGTCATGTAACGGTAAAAATTGACAGGCTTTGAAGTTGGGCGTCTCTCCTTTGTAATCTTCAAAGGAGAGGTATCAGCCTAGCGATTGGTCAGTTTTGTTAACCTGAGACCAATCAGACAGCTATTTTTTTTCGTGCCTCCATTTTTGCCATGACATATTCCAGGGGTGCAGAGAGCAAAAGTGAGCGTAACTCCTGGATATCAAGGATGGCAGTGCGTGGGCCTTTTCATTTTATAGATTGACTGCATCCTGTAGTTTAAGATGCAGCTTTTTCATGGGTTAAGTCGGGGGAATTTCTAAATACTAATGCAGACCTTGACAATATTTGTCAAGTTCACCAGTAAACAACTTGAGACCAGTAGGTCTATCCGTATTTCATAAATGAACATCTATAGTGATTGTTATCAGAATAAACTAAAATCAGTCTTTGTTTTTTGGCTGGGGAATGTATGAATCTTGTCTATGAATGAATTGAGATTTTGTATAGAAAATTTGATTGTCTTTGTTTTATTTTTGCAATTCAGAATGGAAAAGTATAATATGCATGTTGTTAAGTTTTTGGTATCATGAAGTTTAAAAATAAATCAGCATCTATTCTTCGATCAGCTGTTCAAAAAATGAAATGAAATGGAAGATCATTTTCATATTAAGTAAAACCTTGTTATGATGTCACCATTTGTCCAACAAAAGTCTGGCGTTATAATAAATAAATAAATAAATAAATATACAACATTTGTCAATATAAGTTTTGAGGAATTCGCAGAAGCTGCCTTATCAGGCGCTAACTACTTGTCCTATGCCACCTGGCTAATATCTCCCTATGTGTGTATGCCTGCGTGCTGGAAATGTAATGTGTTCTGTTCGTAGTGGGACTGTGCTTCCAACGGCATCATATATAGTGCCACCTCACTTGAATGATACAGCACAGATAACACAACATCCACCCCAGACCAATTTATACTCCACCTGGGTTGTTGGAGTTGTGTGGGCAGGAGAAAAACATTCTCTGAATAACCATGCATACGCCGACTTAGGGGATCAAACCCCGGTCACTTGCGTGGAAGGCCGGAGTGTTAACCACTCAACCAATAATGGAGTTTTGCAATATATTGAGAACACACTACAAAAAGGGAGACTTTGAGATAAATTGTATGTTGACAGTAGGCGAGGTAGCAAATACAAAATTACATTGAGGTTTTGCTGTATAGTCTATAAACGGAAGTTTTAACGGAAATGATTAATTCAAAAATAAATTGGAGGATTTACCTTGTTTCAAAAAGTGTAAATACTGTACACCCAATGATGGAATACTTGTTATACAGTATTAAGCATTAGGCAACATTTTTGACGTAGGAGGATTTTCTGGACCTGACAGTGACCGTAGCAGGGAACAGTGATCTAGAGAATGGTCTCTACAACTCCTACTGTGAGATGGAGTCTATGGACGGAAGAAATCAGTATCGTTGCGAGGCTTGTAACAAACTTGTTGACGCCAAAAAGGTTGGTTGTGTAGGAGAAATAAGACTTAAAAAAGTTAAATATATATTAAATGAAAATATTGAAATTTTACAAAAAGGTATTTTGTACATGTTGAAGATTATTGTAGGAATGGTCCTGAAATTGTAAAGATTTACCCACATTTGGCTACTAATTGGGAAAAGAGTATTGGTTATACTGTAGTGCTTGTGGAAATGCATTCTCTGCATGTTAGAAAATATATCTCCATTTTACACACAATACAACATTGTTTTAATCATAGTAACCATAATTTCCCATTGTTCTTACAATGTTCCACATAAGCATATGCATATATTCTACAACAACATTTGACAGACCTACATAAATCCTATCTTACCAACCCTACAAAACAACCTAACAGTGGCTTCTCGGGGGCTACTCGGACGACTCTATTTATATATATAAATCAACTGGTAGACTTCTACCATCTATTGTTAAACTGGTAGACTTCTACCCACCTATATTTAAAATGGTAGATTTCTACCATTTATTGTTAAAACTGGTAGACTTCTAACATCTATTATAGTTAAACTGGTAGACTTCTACCATATATAGTTAAAGTGGTAGACTTCTACCATCTAATGTTATACTGGTCGACTTCTACCATATATAGTTACACTGGTAGACTTCTACCATATATAGTTAAAGTGGTAGACTTCTACTATCTAATGTTATACTGGTCGACTTCTACCAACCTATAGTTAAAAATGGTAGACTTCTACCATCTATTAAAGTTAAACTGGTAGACTTCTACCATATAATGTTATACTGGTAGACTTCTACCATCTCATGATAAACTGGTAGACTTCTACCATATATAGTTAAACCGGTAGACTTCTACCATATATAGTTAAAGTGGTAGACTTCTACAATCTAATGTTATACTGTTCGACTTCTACCAACCTATAGTTAAAAATGGTAGACTTCTACCATCTATTAAAGTTAAACTGGTAGACTTCTACCATATAATGTTATACTGGTAGACTTCTACCATCTAATGATAAACTGGTAGACCTCTACCATCTATTGTTAAAACTGGTAGACTTCTACCTACCTATAGTTAAACTGGTAGACTTCTACCATCTAATGATAAACTGGTAGACATCTACCATATATTGATAAACTGGTAGACTTCTACCATCTAATGATAAACTGGTAGACTTCTACAAAATATTGTTAAACTGCAGGTAGACTTCTACCCACCTATATTTATCCATCCAATTATCTGAAACAATTTGAAAGACCAAAAGCTTTATCAGTGGATTTAATTAACAAATGTCATGGAGTAACACCAAAATATTATAATGTATTATAACTCTATACAAGGGTCAATAATACACATTAATAAGAAGTTAAGTTAACCTCCTATATCAATACACATAATACAGCATTCTGTTTCTCATACAGGGTATCTATAAATAAACCGAAAACAAACTTGTACACACAGTATATGCTTAAAGGAAAGGAGATGATAATGGGGATGGTTGGTGGGTTGATTTAAAAGATAAAGTTTCCCTATGTCTGTACCCCTTGGAAGAATTTCTGAAACTGACTATGGCCCCCTGGTCAAAGACCCCTTACTCACTACTCAAATTCTCTGCTTCCCTAACTCTCCAATCTATTGGTTAATTCCCTCACATACCCAATTACATTGTTACCCTAAATAAGGTCATTGACCAGTCCTATGTCATCCTTGGTCCAACACTGATCTCATTTGATTATAAGCACAGCTTGCAGATAGCCCTCACAATCCTGAGTTTCTTTGTCCCTATACTGCCCAGTACTCTAAAAATAGCTCCCTTGTGTAAGGTGATATCTCCTGGCTCCTATGTACTCATACCCCCCCACTCAGGCACCCTCCCATCTCTGTCTCCCAGCTACAGACACTTTTAATTAAGCAAACTGACCCTATCTAAACACCCTTTACATAAGATGAAATAAGTAAGTAGAAGACCACACATATAACATATACAATGTATACAGTAAATTTAAACATAGATGATTAATGAAAAAATGTATAAAAAGACAGAGAGATAAATGTATTGTTTGTAAACTAAAATTATAATAAATTCACATCATTTAAAAAAATCATGATTGGAAAATTTCGACATGTGATAATTCCTATTTTACAGTAAACAGAACATCTATACTTTCATTTTAAAGAGAGAGTTTATTTTTTTATTTTTTTAATATTTTTTTTTAAATTTCAAGATTTTCAGAACATGTACATTATACTGAACATCACATCAACACAAATCAACTATTGAAATTATTATCATCATCATCATTGCACTTTCACACATAGAGAGACAAAACAAGAGAGATAGAGTATGTAACCATCAAAGAAAGAAGTAATAAGTCGGCTCAGCCTGAATCGTTCAAAAAACACAAATCTCACTTACACTGTATATGTATACCTGCATCAGCAGTCATTGGAGTAAGCAAGAGAATAACACCTACTAACTTAATATAAATAGGGTTAGGTGAGGTCAAGCTCTACTCATTTTAAGACATTGTTCCCCTTTACCACGAGCAATATATTTCTGAACCTTATAGTAATCTTTAATCGAATTGACTAAAGCCGTCAAAAAGAGAGTTCTTACTCACATATCATTTTGTGATATTTCAGGGAGCAAAGATACGAAGTGTTCCGGAAATTCTCACTTTATCCCTACTGAGATTCAGCTTTGACTTTCAAAAGATGCAGCGATTTAAGGTACTATTTTTATATAAATAAAGTTTCGTTTCTGAATTCAAAGTTGCAAAAAACATAATATAGACAAGTCATATTGTCATTTTAATTATTGCTTCAAGTAAGCAAGAATGGGGATGGAGGGGAGGTTATCTTCAGAAACCACCTCAGTTAAAAACTCACTTGTGTTAAGAGACCACTTTTAAAACACTGAATTGCAGTTATTTTCATGCTAACAACCTGTATTCCGTCTTTGCGCATTGCAGAGTTATCTTCTCTTGTGAGCAGGTATTGATTGTTACGTCATTTGTTTGTGAGAGTAACGTCATCAATTTTTGAGAAAACAAAGTAATTTTCTCGCACAAACCAATGACGTAACAATCAATACCTGCTCACACAAGAAGATAACTCTGCAATACGCAAAGACGGAATTAAGAGACACTGATATTGTTCCCAATCGTTGTAAATTTGGTGTTAACTGAATCTGCAATAAGAGACCACTTTTTAATATGGAAATTATCTTGAAAATATCTCTATTATACCAAACTTTTCTGTTGCTTGATTCAGTGTTACCCCTGTAAAAAAACTATTGGATTCAGAATTTGACAAGTCTTTTTGAATTTTTCAAAGTCTGTATCAATATTGATGTTGTTTATCCACTGAAAATCAAGTAAAAGGGAAAATGATTCATCAGAAAAATGAATTTGACTTTTCAGGAATCTGGCAAGTTTGTATTTCCTCAATCTTTGGATATGGCCCCATACATAGAAGAGGTGAGTAGCCAGGAAACTGATGTTTCTTGATTATTTATATTTAATTAACAAGGTCTTTTACATTTATAAGTAATAGGTCTCCTAGGCAAAGGATATTGAATAAGTCCATGAAACAACCAATCAGTATGAGAAAAAATGTTTGTTTCAGGAAATTTAAGGAGTTACTTAAGATAAAAACTGGTTAATAATTCAGAATTTCACCTAAAACACATCTTCTTGAACTCCATGAATATTAAGTCATGCAGAAAAAAGAGTTAAAACAAATGATAAGCATGTACGTATGTCAGTATTCTAATTGATAACAAAATCAAAATTTTGAAATTAGTATAATTTACTAACTTTGTTTCTGCCTGTCTAATAATTTTAGGCAACATCCCCAGTCATGTATAAATTGTTCTCTGTGGTAATACACAAGGGCGGAGCCTACGGAGGTCATTACCATGCTTACCTTCTCGATGTGGATGGTCTCGGCAAGTGGACAAATCCTGTAAGTCTGTCTTTGTATTTGTTTAATACGGTTTCTCTCATTTTCAGAGCTGTCTCTCATACAAATTTATTTTATTCATAAATAGCCTTTGTAAATGAAATTGTCTCGTTAAACAGTGATTTAATCCACTGTGTCTTTTACAACACAGGACTCTTTTAGAATTTTTGTCCTCAGATAGATATAGTGAAGACTTTTTGTTAGTAATAATGGTGGACAAAATTTAATCCTTACAAAGATCCTTGAATAAAAAAAATTAACACTGCAAAATTAAAGAGCTATACAGTATATTGTGAGTTGTAGTATATGATGAGAAATTTTCCAATCAAGTGTAGTGTATTGATTGTGTAGTGACACCTAACACTAAGTCAGTAATGAGTTATGGGCCTTGTTTTGTTAGTAATGACGGTGGTCAAAATTTAATCCTTACAAGGATCCATGAATAATAGCTCCAAATGTTTAACACTGCAAAATTAAGTAGAGAAAATAATACATGCCTTTTTTCATATCCACCCAGTATCAACCCGAGACTGCAATATCGGCCCGAGGGCCGAAGGCCCGACGGCTGATATTGGTCGAGGGTTGATAGTGGGTGTGATATGGAAAAAGGCGTGTTTTAATCCGTTATTACATACTTACTAATAAAAGCTACTATCTTATGATCTATTTTTCTTTTGAAATATTGAAAAACGAAAAATGTCCAAAAGGGGTGTGATACAGGTTTTGCGGGCTGATACAGGTTTTGGGGTGTGATACGGCGGGGGCTGATACAGCTATTGGGGTGTGATACGGCGAGGGCTGATATGGGTTAAAGCAATTGTGTCGTATCGCATATACAAAAAGAACATGTTTCTTAGTAAGTATGTAATAAAGAGCTATACAGTATATTGTGATTTGTAGTATATGAGAAATTTTCCAATCAAGTGTAGTGTATTGATTGTGTAGTGACACCAAACACTAAATCAGTAATGAGTTATGGGCCTTGGGCACATGGAGTTCGTTCTACAGCAAGGCCCATGGAGTTTGTTCTACGGGGTTAAGTAGAGAGAATGGATTGAATTCGACGTGTAGTGTTTTGAACATGGTTAAATACAAAAACAAGTTAAACGTCCACTCTAACATCAAGTTTTATGAGTATGAGGTTTTCAAACAAGATAAACAAGATGTGGTTAGGTATTATTATGATGGTGTGACCTGTATGTATGTGACTGTATGGATGATTTGTTCCAGGAGGAGGAAGTCATACAGTTGCCTACTGATCCGAGTACTGGGGAGGTGGACTTCATAGAGTGTGACTCTCCAGTAGATCTCATACACACCATACTGGCTCGGTCACCGGCCAAGACGCTCTCTGTCGACAAAATCTGTGCTGTAAGTTGGTAGCACTAAAAGTAAAGTGATTTAATTTTGAAGGAAATTAATTTTGTAATATTACATACCTTAAAATCTCAAGGGAACAGGTAGATCAACATACCTTACAATCTCAAGGGAACAGGTAAACCTACATACCTCAAAATGTCAAAGGGAGAAGGTAGACCTACATACCTTAAAATATCAAAGGGAACAGGTAGACCTACATACCTTACAATATCAAAGGGAACAGGTAGACCTACATACCTCAAAATGTCAAAGGGAGCAGGTAGACCTACATATCTCAAAATGTCAAAGGGACCAGCTAGACCTACATACCTTACAATATCGAAGGGAACAGGTAGACCTACATACCTTACAATATCAAAGGGAACAGGTAGACCTACATACCTCAAAATGTCAAAGGGAGCAGGTAGACCTACATACCTTACAACATCAAAGTGAACAGGTAGACCTACATACCTTACAATATCGAAGGGAACAGGTAGACCTACATACCTTACAATATCAAAGGGAACAAGTAAACCTACATACCTTACAAAATCAAAGTGAACAGGTAGACCTACATACCTTACAATATCAAAGGGAACAGGCAGACCTACATACCTTACAATATCAAAGGGAACAGGTAATCCTACATACCTTACAATATCAAAGGGAACAGGTAGACCTACATACCTCAAAATGTCAAAGGGAGCAGGTAGACCTACATACCTTACAATATCAAAGGGAACAAGTAAACCTACATACCTTACAATATCAAAGTGAACAAGTAAACCTACATACCTTACAATATCAAAGGGAACAGGTAATCCTACATACCTTACAATATCAAAGGGAACAGGTGGACCTACTTACCTTACAATATCAAAGGGAACAGATAGACCTACATACGTTACCATATCAAAGGGAACAGGTAAACCTACATGCCTTACAATATCAAAGGGAACAGGTAGACCTACATACCTCAAAATGTCAAAGGGAGCAGGTAGACCTACATACCTTACAATATCAAAGGAAACAGGTAGACCTACATACGTTACAAGATCAAAGGGAACAGGTAGACCTACATACGTTACCATATCTAAGGGAACAGGTAAACCTACATACCTTACAATATCAAAGGGAACAGGTAGACCTACTTACCTTACAATATCAAAGGGAACAGGTAGACCTACATACGTTACCATATCAAAGGGAACAGGTAAACCTACATACATGAAAATATCAAAGGGAACAGGTAGACCTACATACCTTACAATATCAAAGCTGCTGATGGAATCCCCAAGATAAATTGCTGTAAGCTATTAAAATTTCTGTTTGCATTACATGTAATTTTGGTGCCTTTTGCAGGAAATTACAAAACAGACAGGTGTATCATGGAACAAAAGATTTAGGCGACAACATGGATCCATACACAAGGTTAGTGACATGCTCCATGTTGTGAAAAAGATAAAGCAGGAATAAAATAATCCAGGAAGGTTCCTTTACTACCAAACTTTTGACAGGACCGTTATGGTATTGGGATCATCTGTCCGTCTATTCATTCATCCATACGTTGGCTTGTACAAGATAACTTGCTTATAGATATTGATCAACTCTGATGAAACTAAGTAAGAATGTACAATATGCAAAGACTAAGGCTAAGATTGATGAAAGGACATGTAGCTCACCCAGAGTGTATGTGTGATGTTTCAATGACTTTCTGTAGGAGGGTATGTGCTCTGTAATCAAACAAATGACCAGTGAAGTATATGTACACAGAGTTGTAAAATATGTACAAGTTGGCAATATAAAAGCAACGTCAATTTGGCTACACTATCAGCATATGTGCACACAGTTTTTATACGCCTGTCAAATTCGATGGAAGTATTATGGTATGGGGTTGTCCGTCTGTCTTAAAAAAAAATTGTCCGGCAATCTCCTCCTACATTTTTGAAACTTGGTATATATTATAATTATGATATGAAGTTGTGTCCCCCTAAAAGGAATTTTGATTCGACAATTTTTGCTAAAGTTATTGCCCTTCGTTTATTTCAGTATTTGATTTTTGTCCGGCAATCTCCTCCTACATTTTTCAACGGATCTCTTTGAAACTTGGTATACATTATAATCATGATATGAAGTTGTGTCTCCTTTAAAAGAGTTTTGATTAGACAATTATTGCAAAAGTTATTGCTTTTTGTTCATTTCAGTATTTTGATTTTTTGTCCAGAGATTTTCTCCTACATTTCTTATAGCATGTCAGATAACCACTCTTAGAATGATGCAGATCTTATTTCAATGTAAGAAAATATCTAACACGATATGGCATTCGACGGGCGTATATTGTTCTGCCCCGTGGTACTCTTGTTACACTTGTGTTAAATGACAAATCATATTGACAAATTGATTCAACTGTATTTTGTTTAATACCTAGTCATAGAAATGCAGGAGTACATGTGCCCCCTCATCTCAATTCAGTATTTGCTTGCTGCAGTATATCCAGATGTCTTCCTTTATCACATGTACATGTGTAAATAAGATGATTATGATGTCATTACAGTTGTGTCATCATAATCACTACATAGCAGATAGATTGTGTTATTTCAATTCACCTGCAACCGTGAATAATAGGACTAGAATTTTGAACAGAATGAACTTAAATTATTAAATATATACAAGGGCGTGAAAATTAGAACCATCCAAAAAATTTAAAAGAATGTTGATGTTTAGTGTTATGTTTTGGTGTGACAATCATGTTTCAGTACTTGGAGAAGCACAATGAAGAATTTGTTATAGACCAATCTACTCACCTCATCACCCTAAGGGAGATAACTTCTGTCCAGAAGGAGGGCTTAGCTGGAGGATGTCCGGCGGCTATTTCTGATCTGTCACCAGAGGAATCCCTCCCCAACAATAAAAGGTAAGAGATGTTGGGCTGGCAGTGATGTAACATTATATCTAAAACAATATCGAGTGTAGCCTCAATCATCATGTCATCTCTGTTCCTAGAAAAATTACCGAAGTATGAAACAACTGGAAAATTAGAACAGTTTTGTATGATAATGTCCAATCTGTCTCTAAAAGATCTGACACGATAGTGGAACCACTGGATTTGTGGTGACTGGATTAACAATTCTTGCACCTCAGACAGAGATATCCCACGTCGTACTCCATGCTAGATTTTTCTTTCTCGTCCGATCTGTCTTGTACTTTTACATGACATTTTGCAGAATTTTAACACTGCGATCGATATATTCATTCGTGCGTTAACTGCTTAAAATTGACATTTGTTATAAATGTTCTGTTTTGTCGTTATATGTATAGTTTTGATGTTGTTAGATATTTGATGTTGTAGATAAAATATAATTTACACTGTGAAATGCTTTGTAATCTATGTAAGGACGGACTACATTTTTACGTGGAAGCATTCAAATGTAGCTTAAGTAGTGAAGAGGTAATTATCATTTGTGGCCTAAGGCGGGATACTTGTAGTTTTTAGCAAAATTGAAAAGTGTTTTTTTTTCGAACTAAAAGATGTGAGAGAAAAAAATCAAATACCTGTAACTGAGCAAGATCGGGTTATCTCTGGCAAAGATTCGTAACATCCCAACCTGTGTATACACCTCGGTTGGGATTTTGTTACAGAATTTTAACCCGCGACTGAGATAACCCGATCTCGCTTAGTTACAGGTAATAGATTTTATTAGGCTTGACTTGTATTCTGAAAGATGCATGCATTTCCTTTCAAAGAGTTTTGTGATTACTATTATATAACTAAGAAAAGTAAAAAAACAAATTATGAAAAGTGATATTTCAAAAGGTGCACAAGAATTCATGCATTGATTACTCAACTGTAACACAGAATAATGAGATAAGTACAGGGGCAAGGCACAGACGAACCCCCACCCCCTATATGTGTATATAGCGACACTATATAAGCATATAGGGGATGGGGGTTAGTCTGTGCCTTGCCCCTGTGGAGATAAGTATTCATTTAATAATTGTAATGGATATAACAATGATTAAACAAATACGATAGCATACAGACTGAGGACAGACAATTGACAGTCTCTCACATATTTTCTTGTGCTGTTTTTGGTTCAGGACGCAGTCTCCCGCACCAGACCTCGGAAGTTGCTGGTTCAACTTTGATGATGCTCGTGTCCACCCGATGAGGGAACGTGAGATCCAGAAGACATTTTCAGGAAAGTCCAGTGCTTACATGCTTTTCTATAGGAAAGAATCTCTAGTCAGGCCACCAGAGGGTAAGACGCTCAAATATTATCTCTGCTGCAATAAACATTTTATAATAGAAAATCAGACAGATAGACTCACCAATTACAATGTCCCATAGATTGTCAGAATGAAAAGTTTAGAGAAATTAATTCTTTTTCTTCCTTATGTGGTCTTGAACTTATAAATAATAGATTTTTAGGTATCATCCATGATCCCGGGGCCTGGAGAGCTTATCTGCATGGGTTGGCAAAAAGAATGCAATAAGCTGTTGTTATTGTTATTTTTTTTGCCAAATTTTCAAGATTTTTGTAGAATATCCTGATCAATGTGCCTTTGTCACAAATTTCAGGTATCTATTTTTGTGCGCAAACTTGTGTTAATTGCTGTTAATATGTTAAATTTCAGCACTTGGAGACCCAACGTATCGACTACCACACCACCTTCTATCAGAGGTGATCCAGGAGAATGAAGATTTACACTTCCAGAGGTAAGGCAAAACAAAATCACAACGGTACTTGTGTGTACAGTAGATTTTGGTGTCTCTTCAGATGTGTGCTCCATATAACGTACTGTGTGTGACTATTTAAACTGATTGTGGTGTGAAATTTGTGCTATTTATAGAATATATATGAAAATTTATATTCTATAAATCTGAAATCTTCATAATATGAAAAATTGATATTCCAATGTGGATATTTTCATAACTCCAACTTTTACACAGTAATTAAGTGTTTTATAACTTAACTAATAAAAAGAAGAATTTTAGAAGATTTTCTTAACATACCTACCAACCCTATTTACCTATGATACCAGAAATAAATACTGGGTACTTGAAGTGGGATGTTTTCAAAGTGGTATATTAACACAGGTAGTCTTTTAATAAAGATAGTCTCAAGCAGGTTTTACCATATATCATGGGTATGTAATCAGTAAGTGGTATATAATAATAGCAATTACTTTTCTACAGAGAGTTCTATGATATGGAAATCAACACAATTTCCCTACATATCCACTTTGGGGATTTGTTCGAATTTGTTGATGGTTCCCTACGTCCACGAACACAGACAACAAAAACAGAACTCACTATCGACAGGAGAAAAACAGTTCGGGATTTGAAGACAGCTGTCCTAGAGGTAAATTTTCTTTGGCTATATATCTCTATCATAATTTGTCTTACATTGGACTGCTTTTACAAAGACACTCCACATAATTTTGAAAAAAAAATAAATATTGTTGATGATGCTTAAATAGTACTTAATGTTTCTCAACAAGGTCCCTACAGAGAAATGTCATAAAACAAATACCAAAAGTCATTGAAGATCACAGATTTCAGGCTTAGCCCTTCATCAGAGAGTGGAATTTTATTTTATGGCAGCAGTCTCTAACCTCAGTGAAAACTTCTATATCATTGGTAAAAATGTAATGAAGTTAATCTTGTGACATGTTTTATGTGTTTCTTCATATTTGATGTCAGATAACTAATTCTTTGTAAGCCTATTTTAAGGTAGATGGAAAATGCTGAAACACTCGTTGAAAATGTCCATAGTTTGTGTTGGTAGATGTGTTGGCATCTAATATTTGTGATGTTACAGGTATCAGAAGGCCGAGTAGCAGACGACTTCCACATACATCTAATGAAGGAGCTTGTGGCAGGCTTTCACCTATATAAGGACATATCATGTTGGTATTTACACAAGCAGTGAGGAATAGAATCTTGTATTCCTTTTCATGATGTCCTGATTTATATATTTGTATTAAGCAGTAGTTTACACCGTTGATGGGAAATAGAATCTGGTACTCCATTTCATGATATTCTGATATATATGTTAGTGTTAAGAAGTTGATTATACAGACAATGAGGAATAGAATCTTGTAATGTGGAATATAATCCCGGTGTATATATTTCCCTTGTGATAAAGACCTATTTTAATGGAACTATTGAATATTTTTAGTATTTGATTTGAGGAAAATTTGATCGGGCAGCTTTGTTCCAGAAACAAAATAGTGAAAATTGTATCACCCTACAGTAAATTTCTAACACCCTTCATTGAAGTTCCATCTCTCTAGTACAGAAATATACAGGTAACCTGTCCATCCATGTGTTACAGGTGATGGTGATTTACAGCTGATAAACACCTCGGTAGATGATGGAAATATCCTGTTCATTTGGGATGGTGAAAAGGTAGGCAAAACATGTTCTATATGGTAATAGTTTTATGGAAATCTGATAAGTAACTGGAGAAGGTTGTAAGGGAATGTATAAATTGTGTCTGTAATTTGTTGTGTATCCGTTTGTTTGTTTGGCATAATTTTTTCCTGCCGGTAAAACACGGTGAAAAGGTAGGGAATGAAGTGTTTGCCAGTTTTCTATTAAGGCCACCCTTAAAAAATAGTTTGTTTGCAGTTTCCCTACTCACATTTTCTTTCAGTGGGAAAGGATATTTTTTTTCACATTAAGAAATCTTATTTTTATACGCCCGTCAAATTTGACGGGAGTGTTATTGTATGGCGTCGTCCGACCGACGTATACTTTTGTTTGTCCAGCAATCTCCTCCTTCATTTTTCAACGGATCTCTTTGAAACTTGGTATATATTATAATCATGATATGAAGTTGTGTCTCCCTTAAAAGAATTTTGATTCAACGATTTTTGCAAAAAGTTATTGCCCTTTGTTCATTTCAGTATTTGATTTTTTGTCTGGAGATTTTCTCCTACATTTTTTATAGCATGTCAACTAACCACTCTTAGAATGATGAAGATCTTATTTCAATGTAAGAAAGTATATAACACTATATGGTATTCAACGGGCGTATATTGTTCTGTCCAGTGGTACTCTTGTTCTATATAAAAACCCAAAGTTTCAGTGATTTTTCTGCAAGATTTTTTTTCCCCAAAAGTTCCAAAAAGGGTTTGAGTAGGTGCTATTTTGAGTGAGTCGGTCAGGAAACTGCAAACAAACAATGATGAGGTTTCAATTCTATACTTAAATGCAAATATTTCACAACAGTCAACAGATTTCTAAATTTTCAGAGGCTAGTGAAGGTCAAAGTGGACCTCCTTAGAGAACATCTTGTTCATCAATTTTAGTAGCCATAATCTACACTTGAAGTAACGTTAAACATGGAAATTGTTATAACTTTAATCTCTGTTTTTTCAGATAAACGGTCAGTGTGTCCCTACAGGAGAAGCCTGTGAACCGGTGTTCCTGAATGTGATATATGGAAACCCAAAATCAGAATATGCTGACGGATTTCCCAAGAACATGACCTTGTACGATTTCCAGGTCAAAGCATCGGACAGAACCAACATACCTCTGAGTCAGATAAACTTGAAGAAGATCACAGGTGAAGGTCGGTATTCAAACTTGTTAATTTATAGTTGGTTATAGCACTTGTATTTCATGCAGGGTTCATTCGCACTAATTATTATTTAAAAACTTTTTACTTTACTGATAGAGAATTTATAGCATATTACAATCAACTTCTATACTATACCATATATGTTGTAGAGCTGTCACGATACACTTTACCAACGATCTCAATATTTGTACCATGATTCGATTATTTCGATTCGATACACCTTTATTTTAAGATATAAACAAAATGAGATATATAAGCCGCCAATACACTGAAACCTGAAGTGTTTCCACACTTTTGATTTGAAGCTTGCCGGAGCATCAAACATTTTCATTACCTTACTGCGGTCCGCCATTTTGTTATGAATACTTTGTGAAAATTGTATCCTTGCAGCCGATTGGCTGAGGGTTTAGAGATCAGCCAATGAAATTGAAAGTCTCACAGACGTTTCGGCTGAAGCGGCATACACTAATATTCAGATCGTGACGTATCGAAAAATCCGGAAAAATATATCGTGAATCGAATCGAACATAAATAATCGCGGTACAAGTGCATCGCGGTGAATCGTGACGCCTCTAATATGTTGCCATAATTTGACCAGCAACAGTTTGGGCTTAGTCTTGCTTCCGCTACTTCATGGCGGCAAGACAAAAAAACAGATATTTTCTGGTAAGAAAATAAAACATTTCATAAAAATAATTATGGTGCTACTGGAAAGTGGAGGGTGGTACCATAATTTCAAAGTCTTAAAAATTCTTAATTTCTGTTACCTTTTAATGAACTGTATTCAGAGCTAATCATAGATTGTTTTGACAATACCTTAAAGGAAAAATATAAACAATTGTTAAGAGAAAAAGGTAAAACGAGTCATTTGACTGCATTTTGTGATAAAACTCAAATTTATGTAAAAGTAAATATCATAAGAAATCTAAAACGTCATGAAGGTGTAAGTCTTGTACTACATTACATTGTACATGGTCACTGAGGGCAAGACTTTTTCTCTAGTTGTAACAGTTTGCCCAGCTGTATAAGTATGTACCAGGATAAATTGGGAAATCAAAATGTGACAGAGTTGATGTTTGTGTTGGCAGGAGTGTCCCAGAGACTGGTCGAGTTCACTGAGGACCAAATGGGATCTTCACTCAAAGATTTACAGCTGGCAGACTTCGACCAGATTGTGGCTGAAAACAGGAACAGGTAATAGTTACTGTATAAAACTTGAATCTGTGAGGTCAAACTTCTAGACTTGTTCCTGGAAAAAATTTCGGGATTTAAAATTTTGTGTAAAACCAATAATGGTCGCAGTAGGTCAGTAGGGCAATGCATGTGCAAGGTTTGAATTTCAAGTATAAAGATGATGAATTTGGAATGATTGATGATTATTTGAAATGAACAAGTTAGCACTGGCAATGTGGTATTCTTTTACAGAAACAAGTTGTATGACAGCTCACAAAATCAAAGCTGCATACAATCATACAAGAAATGTACAGTAAACAACCAAGTCTACTTCATATGTACGACACTGCAGTTAAGAAATGCCTTCAAAATATTTAAAACATTTTGTTTTCAAAATGGTCATGTTTCATGTCTTTGTTTTACAATTTTCATGTCAGTCTTGGGGAGAATGTGATCCTGACGAGCACGAAAGTTGTCCTTTATGTAGAAAACAAGTGTAGCACGGTAAGTCATTTTTTCCTACTTAGAGCAGATTGGTTTATTGTTCAAGCCAATCACCTTCCGCATGTTGTCTCAGGGTTTGATTTCAAGTTCGAATTTGAAATTTTTTGAAAGAAATTGCTATCTCCTGTCTATTAACGAGATCTTCAGTGGTCGCTATACCAGTATATCAGTAGCCCCCTGGATAGGAATTAAAGCCAGACATATGTGTCTGGTATACAAATAAACATTTATCTTTAAATTAGGATTCCCACATTGTCATGATTACCATTTTCTGTTGCAGGTAAGTTTTACCTGTTCCTTAAAGGGATTGTTAAAAAACCTGTTATGAAAAAAAGTCTTCCATATCTAAAAACACATCTAGATGTACTGTCTATGCCTCAGGGTCACTATAACGAAATATACACACCGGATACATAAGGAATGTGGAAATTGGCAGATTCATCAACAGTGATGTAGATGTTGCTAAATCTAAACTAGTTTTACGTATAAATTTTTTTTAGGGAACATAAATTTATTCAAATTTAAGAATGAAATACAAATACAGTAATGATATGGATCTGTATGTATACTTTTCAATTCTTATATTTATATGTACATAGTGTTTAAAATTCATCAATGATAAATTTTGGTACATGCAACCATAATTGCATCACATGCAAATAACAAGGTAAAAATAAAAATTATTGAATTTAGCAAAAAGAAAGTGTTGCTATAGATTACTCTAAATACCTTTTTTTTACCAGACACCAGTTGACGGAAATAGGACAACGATCCGAGTTGAAGTGGATAAAGATACCGTGAGTATCACCGGGTCCCTCACACGAGTATGACTTAAATATTGTTAAGCGGGGAATTTTTATCGCGAAAGGGTTTTTGTGTTTTATTCTAAAATTTGCGTTATAAAATGTTCAGACATATAAAGTTGTGCGATCAGTAACATATCAGAGGATTGTATTTGTGAGGCTAAGTTACATAATTGTTATAGTTCTAGAAACTTGTCATTATATATGAACACTAGCATGTCAATATAGTATATGTTTTTTTGATCGAAGTTTTGTTTTTTATACCCCCGTCAATATTCATCAATATTCAACGGTAACTGGCGGAGTTAGGGTCCTTCATCCACTTTCCAAAATGGTGTCCGCTCAATATCCAAGTAGTTTTTAATGAATTAACTTCAAACTTTATTGGAAGGATCATTGCCTTGATAGCTTGGACAAGTTTGATAACCGTAATTTACGGAGTTATGGCCCTTTATTAATTTGCCCAAACAGTGTCCGCTAGATATCTCTAGCAGTTTTCTACGGATTGACTTCAAACTTCATAGGAAGGTTCATTATCATGATAGCTTGAACATGTACGATAACCACCATTGTCCAACTATAATTAATGGAGTTATGGCCCTTTATGTACAACCATACAGACAACTGCTCATTCAATGTATGACAGGCATATTATGTTCCGTTTTCGTGGTATCCATATTCAAGTGATATGTCTATGACAAAGTCATACTTCAGTACATGTATAGGAATTAGTATTGATGGTATCATAAAAAAGTGTGATCTGTGCAATGGAAAGGAAACTACATGGGTTATTGGTGTTAGTTTAACTGGAACTAGTGGATACATTATACATGTTTACTTATCAATTGACTCTGGTCTCTCAATCTGTATTTCAGAGTATAGCTGAAGTTAAAGTCCTGGTCATATCCAAGTTTGACCTGTGTGACGTTCAGGACGGAGGTCGTTTGAGAATTGACCATGACACCCTGGGGCTTCGGCCACCTTGTAAGTACTATAGGACCATCAACCATACTGAATCCCGGTAATCTAAGCTATTCTGCACCCTAAAATTCTGTCATGACAGATTTGGATCCCAGTACATGCCACCATGCAGATGTGATACAAGTTAATTTCTGCAAACCTGTGATCTCATTGTACTTTTTTGATAAATGATAAAAGGGAATTGCACTACACAGATTAGCCTGAATTCCGCTCATTAAAAGGAAACAGAAATTAAGAATTTCTAAGTGTCGATTTAGTATCCTTTACCTTAACAGGATGGAACTATCCTCCATTTTCCAGTAGCGTAGTAATTTGTGTGAAATGCTTTTGTTTTATAAAACAACTTACAGTACACGAACAACTGACCGTTGAAGAAGCTTCCCTAACAGCAGGGACAACTCTAATCCTGGAGGCAGGACCAAGTCCGACCTCTAACCAGATAACCTTGACCTTTACCTCAAGTGACCCCAAGGTTGATGTTGTGTACAAGGAAGTGATACTGGACAAGTCGTCCACTGTTGGAGAGTGCCTTGAATGTTTTAAAAGGAGAGTGGGGTTGACAGGTAGGCATGGTTCAAATCAGGATTAATGTAACATATTGGATCCAGCGGTATTTCTGGTGTTTGAGAGGCTTTAGGAGCACCCTTTTTACTTCAAAAAATACATTTTAAAGATATTAAGATGAAAAATATTTTAGACTTTTCCTATTTTCATTGGTTGTTTGCCATGTTTTTTCTGAATAATTCAGCGCAGTCACTGGATGGTTTCAAAACAACCTATAACGGCAAGTTATAAAAATAAAATGTAGTCAATTTATTTTACTTGGTTTGAACCAATATCAATGAGATTATAAGCAAACGAAATCAATGAAAAAAAGTAAACGTTGAAAAATCACCCTTTTTACGTCAATCCTGAACCTTAAAAGTCATTATTAGAGTCCTTAATTCATGTTTAAAATTTCTGTATAAATCATGGTTTGAGACTGTATCTAATTCACCGCTGAAATTTCATGATGAACTATTCCAACTTTTAAGTTGGAAGAGTTCAAATGTGTCTTCAGAGGTGATTGAGTTGAGTAAAATTTCTCTGACAGTACTGATCAATGTTAATTTCACAGAGGACCGATGGCACCTACGGAAGACAAACTGGTGTGGGGAGGCTGCTGAGGTACTCGACGACATTGACCTACCCTTGGGACAGAGCCTAGTTAATGATGGGGACCACTTGCTGCTGGAGGAAGGAAAGTTACCACCCAAGGTACAGACCCCACAGTCTCCTGAGTAATACTCAATTATATATTCTGTTACAGAAACCAGGCAGACACATGATGAATATTTATCTGTATGCCCCTCGCAACATAAAGTGTTTGAGAGGCGTTAAGTGTTTGAAAGTGTTTGAGAGGCGTTAAGTGTTTGAAAGTGATTGAGAGGCGTTAAGTGTTTGAGAGGCGTTAAGTGTTTGCCTTTTGGAGATTCCATCTGACATCTTGACCATCCTCGATACTCCAGGGGTAACGCTCACTTACAGTCTCTGCACCCCTGGAATATGTCGTAGCAAAATTGAAGGCATGTGGCTAGCTATTGGATTGGTCTCGGGTAAAAAAGTCTGATCAATGGCTAGACTGATACCTGTCCTTTGAAGATTACAGAGGAGTGACACCTGACTTCAAAGCCAGTTAAATTTACCGTTACAGGACTGCGAGATTCTTTTGATGTAATTCAAAGGATCAAGCTAGTCTTCTTGTCTCATCCACAAGGTGGCACAAACTGAGCCTTAGAATTTGCTATGACATGTTCCACGGGTACAGAGAGCGAAAATGATGGTATTCCCTAGAGTATCGAGGATGCATCTTGACTAGATTTTGCATTTAGTTTCATTACTCTTAACACTGGAAGTCCAACAATCATCAAACTTCATTGATACATCATGAGGAGTAGTACACTAATGTATCAAATGTGAGTCATGTCTCTGCTGCAAATAGAAAATAGAAAATAGTGAAAATATGAGGAATGCTGATTGAGAAAAAATGTGCCCAGCATCCTTATTGTGTCAAAAATGGTAAATGTTTTGGAACAAAACATGATGGAGTGAGCGATTAGGCTTTCAAGTAAGACCATTTGACATAGGATATGATAGTAGTTGTAGCAGGTATTTAAAATCACACTATGCAAAAGTGGAAATTATTTGCAGCTTGGATTTTTTTTGTGTTGAGTCAGTTCTATACATCTAAAGATCATATAGGTTATAGAATTCAGAACCATTACCCTCACAAAATGTCCACACCGCAATCAGTTAAAAAATCACTTTGCTGTCCTGCCAGGGGTATATCCGTCCGTGTGTGGTGTTGTATCCGACACTGGAGCGGCCGTACCAATCCGACACCAACTCAGGGGGCATGCTGTCCTGGATAACGTCGGGCATCAGAGGTAAGTCACAAAAGTTCTTTTTGCCAAAACTTATGAAATTAAGATCTGATTTAAATGTGCATCAAAGTTGTGGTACAGATAATCGGACATTCCTTTTCTGTGTTATTTGACATTGTGTATCCTATTTGTGTTATTGACATTGTTTTATTTTGGGGGTTGGGTGGGGGTATGGGGGTTAATTCATATGGGATTTAAATTTGGTTTTGATACCTGCCTATGAAGAAGAGAGAATATACCTAGTATCTAAAGTTGCCTTGTTTGTTTGTCCATCAACTTGTTTGCATCAGGTGGACAAGTTATACCAACACTGGATGGGGTGAGTTTGAGCTAGATAAGAAGGTAAAAACTCGGTCGGTAGGGGTACCTGAAACATATATTTGTTTTGGCCTTATCCGATTCCTGATTGTGTTGTAGACTTGCTGAGTCTAAACCAGGCACCATCAGGGGATTCCAATGGAAGTGAGACCCAGGAGCCACTGACGATAGGAGAGGTAGAAGTCTCGCTGCAGGACACCCTGGAGGACTTTCAACAGCTGGTCATGACACTCCCCCTGGTGGCCGATATCAACATCCCCACAACAAACTTTATCCGTGTCCGTCTCATAGAGGATGGACGGCTGACCACAGTGCTCTGCCCACCTACTCAGACTCTACAGTAAGTGGGAGTGTCTGTCCATCATAATTTTACTGAATTAAGAATAAAGCAAAGATTCATCTTCAAGTATTCAAACAAAAATGAAAATATCAAGCATCAAGCATTACGACCAAAACAGAAATAGCTTAAGGTAATAGAATCGTGTCAACATTTCTCAGTAGAATTTCTTCAAATTTTGCAGTTATATTTCTTTGAAGTAAAGAAAAAAAATTGCCACAAAAGAATCAAATATTCCCGCGTTTCGGTAGTAAAAGCGGGAATTGTTTGTCTTCGCGGATACGAGGTAATAACGTGGCGCAAAGGCTTTAGCGCGTGGTCACGCGGTTTGTACTGGTTTATAGGCATTCTCTAGTCAGACACCGAGCAGTTCAGGTCAAATTTTTCGTTTTTTGGTTTTACGAAGTAATGGGTATTTTAAGTGTATTCTCTTGTGGATGCACACCCGTGGGTAGGGGTGTTTAGGTAGGGGTTGAGTTCAGGGAAGGTTTCGTTAGATTTGTTTTGTAGTTTTTGCATTGACAGACATAATTGATAAATACATGTGAAATTTAACGCAGGTCCAGCGTTACCCCTAGACCATCCTGCAATGGGTAGTAGTAGTTCTCCCGCCTTTATTATTGCATGTCGACAATAGGACACAGGTTTCCAGGGGCAGCTCCAGTTTTTCCTGGGCGGCAGGTTTTTTTTTTGGTTTGAGATGGGGAAGGATGTTAATTTATTTTTTGAATAACAGATAGCGAGTTTTGTTAACGAATGTTTGGGATGACACATTTTTGTCCATTGGGCTTTTATATATACCGGGTATATAGTACATCTGTATTTTGTATGTATCATGTATATATTTTTCTGCAATATTAAACACCGACTGCTCGCGGTGCCCAGGGCTAGACGGCAAATGGATATTTGTAGTTTGTGTAGTGTTTTTACATGAGTGGAGAGAAGACATATAGGTTGTCAGAATTTTAAGAATTTGAAATGGAAATGTATGTAAAAAGGAGTGAATTTAAAATGACACAATTTTTTGGAAAATAATGTCAATAAAAATGATACTGAAATAGATTATTATTGCATTAATGTATATCAATTTAATAAATGCTGAAATTGTGTAAAATAAATTATCTATAGACGCTTAAATAATATACACATAGTATTTGCATGTAAGAGTTATCTTTCTTGAAAAATTCACAGTAGTGAAATAGGGTGCCGGTTTCCTGAAGTACAGAAAAATGGACACATGTGACTCATTGATAAAAAAAATCTGAATTAATGCCTGGATTGCTTTGAAATACTTTAATATTGAGAGAACACACTGTTCTGTCAATAATAAACATACAATATTCATCAGTTAAATTTTAAACATTAGAATATGCGGAAATTGTGATACTGTCTCCCTACATTGGATTTTCAACTAGGGATGTACTTCCTATTTCCGTTCATCAATACACTCCTATGACCTTAATGAAGAAGTCTGCAATATTTTTGTGTTAATATTTAAGCGTTTACTACCATGATGCCATCAAAGTTACTTCCTTCCAAATCAATTTCAGATGAATAGTGAAACAGGTTCAGACACTACATTCTAATTCATTTGAGATGTAACAAGGCATTTGATTGGTCAAGCAAAATAATTTGCGACAGTAAAACCATGATATACCCTCTGCAAATTTCTCATATGCATATGAAGCCTGGATGGCGATTGTTCATGACATCACAAACAAAAGCCTGACCCCGAAAGGTCAACATAATTCCGCCTCACTTTGAATATTTCTTACGTCACCAATCCACAGAAGAGAGACACCAAATTTGAAGAAAACTCAAAATTGTCTTAAATCGTTGTTTCTTTCGATGGTTTTGGTTGATATGCATTAGAATGGGGATAACCCTACTGTATTTTGAAATTTGCGACGGTATATCTTGATTATATACTGTCGCAGATATCTGTTTTTATGGCTCCGCTCCCCGTCGCCAGTAAAACACAATTGCGACAGTATAATCACAATTTATTGCTGCAAATTTCAAAATACAGTAGGATTATCCCCTAATTATATTGAGAATTGAAGAGAAAATCATATTTTAGTGGCGTAAACCTTAACCCATTCACCCCTGAAGACACAATAGAAATCTTCCAATTCATAGGATGGAATAGTTCATTATGAAACTTCAGGGGTGAATGAGTTAACTCCATCTTGGACCTGGATTTCATGGATGTGGTGCAGCCTCCTTTTCATATTCATGCCAAGTTCTTATTTGTCAATACATATTGGCACTTGAAATGAATTTTCCATTTTTTTATGCAAGTTATATATAGTATATACCAATTAATTTTATTTCTCAGTTTTGAGATGATCAAAGAAAAAATCCAAATTTTTATCACAATTTTTTTATTACGACACTCCCTGTATTACAATACTTATATATTTTTTAAATATCCTCTATTTGTGATGATTGAAAAGTTGACAGCAGTAATGTAGGGGGAATCTGTTTGAACTACGTTGATATTTAGGAGCTTTAGACAAAGAAATAAACCCTTTTTGTATTAGAATACAAATAAAGTATTTTTGGAGCAATGAGAATTTGAGAGTTACCGGTAGTTAAAAATTGTGTTGGATATTTTATTGAAAATTTGAAAAATTATGAAACCGAATTAAGTTGGATAGAGAAAAGGAATAACAGATATGCATAGAAATGAAACAATATTTCTTTAAGGAAAATTTTCTTTAACCCAGTAAACATGGTCATAAAGCAAGTTTTCTGATTGATATGTTTACAAATCAGCAACTGTTTCGATACATTCATATTATCACATCTCTCTTTTCAGAAAACTGAAACTGAAGTCATGTTGCAGAATAGCAATCCAGGTGTTGTCGCAAGAGGAGAAATTAAAGTAAGCTTACTGTTTATTTAATCATAGAAGCATAGTCAAGCTTCAACAATCTCTGTGCCAGTACAAAAGTGACCGAATTGTGATCGTCTGGTTTAATATAGGGACAATTTTAAGTAGAAAAAAATCTGCCAGTTAAGATATTCCATGCGGTAGTGCATTGATGATGTTACTGTGAAGTTGCTGTAATTTTAATGAGTTGTCTTTCTTATATTAAAATGTAGATGATATTCTGATGAATCTAGAATTTAATTTTAAAGGATTTCCATCTTGATTTAAATTGTGATTTGACCTACCTGCTGTTACAGTGCCAATGAAATAGTACTCCAGGTCCAGCAAAGAGTCCCGGAGACCAGGATGTACATGAACCCACATGAAGTGATATGGGATGTATCCCAGGGGGCCACAGTGCAAAGCCTGAAACAGACCTTGAGCATGGCACTAATCATTGAGGAGCAGTATCTTCACCTGGCCAAACACTTCCCCAAGAGACACGAGTGGCTGATCATCCGAGAACAGCAACATCAGTCAAAGGTAGGCCGATATCAGTCAATAGTCTCATTCAACCTGACACTATTTGGGCCCCTTTCCCATATCTGGTTCAACTGTTTCAAACTGGTGAACTTGAATAGAAAACAGGCGCAGATCTGAACCGAGGCTGACCACAGGAATCTTCGGCACGTGCATATCGAGGGGTCCAGAGGTGCCTTACCGAAATTGAAATGCTAGTTTGCATTATTTCTGCATAAAGCAGTCATTCAGATATATCATAAAATGAAATGCTCGCAAGAAAGAGGGACACGTTATTCTTTATTTGCCATAAACCTCAGAAACTGTGCATATTTAGCTCTGTCGATAAGTTCAGCACAGTCACAGTCAAAGTGTGTTCATTTAATGCAAAATATTTCTTTGCCACCTAAACTGTAACAACCAGGATATGCGAAAGCGACCCTGGTGGTTTTTTCAATAGACTACCCAGAACAGATTAATAAAAAGATATCTGGTAGGGTTGTGACAGCAAAAAATTGTTAGCAATCTGACCCCAAAAGCAGAGATTCCCCACTAATAAAATGGAGAATGATTGTTTTTCTTCCAACCATTGCATTTAAGCAATGGAAAGAACAGATATGATCAAAGAATTGATGAATTAATGAAGATCTTGCTGTAGTGGGCACCAAGCTCAAGATCCTTCTGCAAACTCTTGGTCTGATATTGAGTTGAGGTCAAAGTTTAACGTTGAGTGCTTGCTGGGGTCAACATTGGCTTTATTGGCCTGGGAAAACTTCAAAACTATTTTTTTTTATGATGCTGAAAAATCCTGTTAATCAACACTAATTCATGTTGTGTTTTGGTCTTTTGTAGAAGAATCAGAAAGGAAAGAAGAAAGGAGGACAGAAATGTAACCTGAAGAATGCTCCGTTCTACCTCCGCGATGGTGACATGATAGGTGTTAAGGTTAGTCATGTACCTCCCTGATCATTTTACCTTATTGACACTGAAGATGTCATCCAGGTCCTTCATGATCATTTTAATTTTGAGAAAGATACACGAGGGGTGTAAGGATTAGTCAAACTCCAATGTACATCTAAAGGTTATCTGCTTCCTTAAAAATTGTATCTGTGATTGCAATGAGAAGTCTACATTGAAGAAGGCATTGTGAATGTAAGATCACCAAAGTTTTATCAATACATGTGTTCTTTTGTTTGTGTCTTCTATCACAGTCATTCAACCATTCATAAAGAACCTTTATAGAAAAATACAAAAACATATCTTTTAAATACAGTTACTGTGCTTTGGGGGAAAAATTCCAGCGTGACTATAGCTTCAATAGACAGTTTCTAAATAGAAAACCATACCTAGTGGAACATTTATGAAAAACTAGTAATAAAGAAATAAACAGTACAAAAAAACAGCAAACTCTGTCTGTGTTTATTTTGTGGTTGTTAGGACCAAGGGTCCTTAACTCTGTCTGTGTTTATTTTGTGGTTGTTAGGACCAAGGATAGGATCATTAACTCTGTGTTTATTTTGTGGATGTTAGGACCAAGGATAGGATCATTAACTCTGTCTGTGTTTATTTTGTGGTTGTTAGGACCAAGGATAGGAGCATTAACTCTGTGTTTATTTTGTGGATGGTAGGACCAAGGATAGGATCATTAACTCTGCCTGTGTTTATTTTGTGGTTGTTAGGAACAAGGATAGGATCCTTAACTCTATCTGTGTTTATTTTGTGGTTGATAGGACCAAGGATCCTTAACTCTGTGTTTATTTTATGGTTGTTAGGACCAAGGATCCTTACCTCTGTGTTTATTTTGTGGTTGTTAGGACCAAGGATCCTTAACTCTATCTGTGTTTATTTTGTGGTTGTTACGACCAAGGATCCTGAATTCTGTGTTTATTTTGTGGTTGTTAGGACCAAGGATCCTTAACTCTGTGTTTATTTTGTGGTTGTTACGACCAAGGATCCTGAACTCTGTCTGTGTTTATTTTGTGGTTGTTAGGACCAAGGATAGGATCCTAAACTCTGTCTGTGTTTATTTTGTGGTTGTTATGACCAAGGATAGGATCATTAACTCTGTCTGTGTTTATTTTGTGGTTGTTAGGACATGCAGTTTGACCAGCTGAGGAAGGACGACTTTGCAACCTTAGAGGATGATTACGGTCAGGATGAGCATCAAAGACAGATTGAGGAAAAGAAAAAGGAGTAAGTAATGTCAAAATTAGAAAAAAAATGTGAAAAATTGGTAGCACAGATATCATTAACAACTACTTGAGGATAAAGAACCTTCCAAAATGATGTTTCAATTGATGGTAACATATATATTATATGTAAATTTGATTGCTGGAGGAAAAATTGTGTTGGTTTTTAGCTCACCTGGCAAGGTGCGGCGTCCGTCGTTCGTCCATCCGTCCGGCGTCCGTCCAGCGTCAACATTTTACTTTAAACAACATCTTCTCAGTAACCAAAAGGCCTAGGGTGATGATATTTGGCCAGAAGCATGCTTGGATGAAGGGCTACCAAGTTTGTTCAAATGAATGACCTTGACCCACTTTATAGGTCACAGGAGTCAAATGTCTTAAAATCTTCAAACTACTTCTTCTGAATGACCAAAAGGCCCAGGGTATTGATATTGGGCCTGTAGCATGCTGGGATAAAGGGCTACCAAGTTTGTTCAAATGAATTACCTTTACCCACTTTCAAGGTCACAGGGGTCAAATGTCCTAACATCTTCAAACGACTTCTTCTGAATAACCAAAAGGCCCAGGGAACTGATATTGGGCCTGTAGCTTGCTGGGATGAAGGGCTACCAAGTTTGCTCAAATGAATGTTCTTGACCCACTTTCAAGGTCACAGGGGTCAAATGTCCTAACATCTTCAAACGACTTCTTCTGAATAACCAAAAGGCCCAGGGTACTGATATTGGGCCTGTAGCATGCTGGGATGAAGGGCTACCAAGTTTGTTCAAATGAATGACCTTGACCCACTTTCAAAGTCACAGGGGTCAAATGTCGTAAAATCTTTAAACCACTTCTTTTCAATAACCAAACGGCCGAGGATACTGAAATTGGGCATGTAGCATGCTGGGAGGAAGGGCTACCAAGTTTGCTCAAATGAATGTTCTTGACCCACTTTCAACCTAATGGCATTGTTAGACCTTCAAGGTCACAGGCGTCATATGTTTAAATCTTTTAATAGGTTCTTATGAATCAAACACTGATACTCTGCCTGAATCAAACACTGATACTCTGCCTGTTGCTGTATTTTAGTCCACTTTTAAGATTACAAGTGTGAAATTAATTCCAGGTGAGCGGTGCAGGCCCATTGGGCCTCTTGTTTGAAATACATATGTGTATTTATAACACATCTTTGCCTTTTCATATGCTCTTGATCATTGGAGGCATAGGTCATGTTAAAAAGAATTTGCACTGATTGAGGATAACAAATGAAAAATAATTGAAAACCTGTTGAACAAATTTTATTTGAAATATTTTGCAGGAGAGAGATTAGGAAAAAAAGACAGGAAGAATTTAGTGACTTTGGTCCGAGGAATAACAGACCTGAGGTAGCACTTACTATCAAGGTTGACAACTTCAGATAACACAGTTCAGAGGTCAAGTGAGGTTAAAAGGTTGAGGATGGAAGTTCAAAGGTCAACAGAAATGGAAACATGATGTGTCAGAGACAAAATGATATGGGAGATTTTCAATGAAATTGAGGATGAAGAATTTGGGAGGAAAAAAGGAGCAAGGAGTGAAATCTGTCAGATAATGATAAGGAGGGTGTGTATGTTTGATAGGAAAATGTGTGTATTTGTGTGTGTGTGGGAGAGAGGCTCTTTGTGGTGGAGAAAGAAAAGGACAGACAGACAGAATGGGTATTGCTACTGCTGGATTTTAAAATCATGAATAATTATGTTAAATTAAAATGCTGCTAGAAAGTGATTTTTTTTGTCATCATGTTATTTGATAAAACACAGGCACTTTTATAGATATTTATGCATTGTTTTACTTTTAAATTGTATTTTTTCTGCAAAATGTCTGAAATTTTCTGTAATATAATAAGTACCTCAGCTCTCAAATGTTGGCGGCCTTGTATGGAATGCAAGATTACGAATTACTTCATCCGGTATTGAAGAGGTTTGATAATTTATTGCTTTAATACTATAATATATTACTTTGTAACTTCCTGTAATGAATCCAGGAGGCCAACAAATAATCTTTCACTCAAAGAAGGTGATTACAGGACAATAGGACAATATTTTGTTTGCATTTCTACTGAACTGTGGTAGATTTGGGTGAGCTTATTACCAGGCATGGGCTTATTGTCGAATACTCTCCACATACCTCATATGGTCAGGGTAATGTTGGTGTGATGATACCTTGTCACGGTTATTTAATATGATATTTCAGGTACATGGAACTGCTCTATCTGTAGACTCTTGTGGTATTGACCAAAAGTTATTTATCCAATGACAAGAGGCATTATATCACCAAACATTTATTTAACCGATAAAAAGTGGTGTTATATGACTATACATGGTTTAATGTAACATTTAGTAACATCCTAAAGCTACTTCTACTAATGTACTGACAGTTTACATTCTAAGATGATAGAAATGCATATTTTCCGTCCAGATCAGACAGACAAATTTTAAATCATGAGTAAAGAACCAACGTCCAATAAGTGTAGAGGAAAGAAGTGAAAGCTGAATCCATGTTTCTGTCAAAGTATCGATGGCGACTAGTTTGTGTGGAGTTTTGTGAGGTTTATAAACGGGTACCGGTACCTCAGTTGGTTAGAGCGATGTTGTAACAATCTGAGGACCAGGATCCAAATCCCAGTCCAGCCTTGCTGATTTTTTACACTCAAAACACTAAAGTTGATTATGTCATCATTTTTTTTTTATAAAAGCCCTACATGGTATATACTGGTAGTTTTCTTTTCAGAAATAATTTATCGACTCTATAATCATGCCAGAAGAAGCAGTTTCCAATTCGTAGTTGCATTTTTTGGCTGTGGTACGGAGATCCTTAAGACATAGTAAAGATTTTTTTTTCAAAATACATTTTATCATTGTTTTGTAAAATTCATATACTTACCAACAATTATGTGCTTAGTCCAATTTCATTGTACAATTATTTTTTTTATTTTTTTAAAAGTGCTTTACTTTGTTAATAATGATTCTCCGCCTTAGCGTGCATGAGAGTCACTAATCAAAACATTATGACAGTTAAAAGAGTTATCTCTCCTGTCTCAGTGGTTACCATAGCAACAATAGAACGTATTTCGAAAGAAAAATACAGTGACTATACTTCATTAGGAAGTGTATCAAAGACTTAGACAGATTTTTGTATTAGAAAGATTTATTTTACCGTCCATTTAAGAAATTTAAGTTTAATTTTAATTTTAGGTCACCCGAGACAAAGTCTCAAGTGACCTATTGCGATCGCCTTTTTTTATCTTCTGTCTGTTGTTACAGAGTTTCTTTCAAGAATTTCTTTATGCACCTGTGACATAGTGGAAGGGGCATTAAGTGTAATATTTTGTCTGTCTGTAATTCGTCTATATGACATTTCGGTAAGACTTTGCTTTTAGTTCTACTTCTGAAGAGTTTGTGTTTATCATAGCCCCATTTCCATCAGTGTGGGACCAGGGGCACAACTATGTATGTGTTACAAACTGTGTTTTTTGTTCAAAAATGAATTTCTTTTATTTCCAATCAAAGGAAGATGTAAACAGCTTTATTGATTAAAATATGTAGTATTTGTTAAAGTTGATAAATATCTGTGATATGAGTGGGCTGAAGGTTTGCTGTTTTCTTCAAGATGGAGAAGATATTTCCAGTGGCTGGGAATTAATTTTGAAATACATTATTTTCAAACAAACCTTGAAAGTATTGAGGGTTTTCATGTAGCCTTAAAGGTGTATGCCAGGATATCTGTGATTTTGTAGATTTCACCATTAAAAAATATAATCATCTTTACTATGGATTGATTCAGACTTACTTTTGTCTTCTGACCCTTCAAAAGGTTTCATTAATTGATCAAGTCTGATTTACCAGTCATATAAGACAGTTTACAGATTTCTGATTGTGTAACTCTCTTTGGAAGGGGATGCATTTCACATTAATGTGAAATATATCCTTAACCCTTTCACCACCGTAGACCATAATGGACTCATCCAGATCAATGCATGGTAGAGTCTACTAAAGTGACGTAGGGTTGAAAGGGTTAATAGCCTGATAGAGTTCAAGGATATTTAGGTTATGTCTCCTTAAGAATATCGATGTCAATGTAGGCAAAACACTAGAAATTCTAGAGAAGTCATATATACAGTAACTTCCCCTAAACTCATTCACCCCTCAATACACATTTGAACTCTTCCAATTCAAAGGTTGGAATAGTTCATTATGAAATTTCAGGGGCAACCACAAAATTTGGGCCCCACAAAAATATCTGATCTCGCAGTAATATTTTTAAAAAGAAATTTCAGAATTACAATGTGGTTTGTAGTATTTATACTTCAAAGCTGATAATAAATATTTGTGGAAATTTTAGTTTCCAGACTTTTCAGTAACTTCTAATTGAAGAGACCAAATTACATTCTTAATTGGACAAATTTTGTAAAATTATATATCACTTTATATAAGTATAAGGAAGAGATTATTTCCAACATCAGAACTGAACCAGTCATTTTGGATTGGTGCCTGTTCTTAAAGAAAATCCTGAGTTACCAATTTCATTTTGGTACAGTATATGTATATATACATGTACTGTATTAGGTTTTGATATAATTCTTTTTCAAAACCTTTTATATATATATGGGGCAAAGAAGTAATTCCAACAGGGTGGATATATATATATATAATGCATATAGTTATAGATTTATACAACTATGTACTTGTTTTGTTTTGAAAAAAATGAAGTTAAGAAACTGGCAATGTGATTCTTGTTTATGAAATAATACTTGTATTTGTTGTAATTGTTTGCTGATTGAAAATTGGCAAATAAAAAGTTAAAGAAAGAGATGGCATTTTTGTATTTTTCAGTGTACCTGGTAATTAAAATATATGTATCTCAAAAGTCCTGAAGTCAAAAGCCATGCTTCATTACTTCATCTCCTAGTATGTGATAATGACCAGGCATGCACATCCTAACATACCGTGTAGAGATCAAAGGTCATGTACAGATAAGTTTTGGTGGAAAGTTCCAGAAGGTCAAGGGTTTTGATATTTGGCAAGTAACTTACCTCGGATGAGGTCCTTCAATGCTTCCTAGAATATTTTACCTTGACCTACTTTCAAGGTTACTGACATCAAATATTTTAATTTATCTTTTTCTAATATATTGTGTTAAGGTCCAAGGTCAACTTTCAGAACTGTGTCAACAGAGCTATATTGCACAGATATGTATAAAAAAAACAAGAGGCCCAGAGGGCCTGTATCGCTCACCTGAATATGTTTTAAATAATTGGTATGAAGTAAAGATATAGCACTCCATGGTAGGTGCTGTAAGTACATATGAAATTTCAGAAAGATCCATCCAGTACTCGAGATATAGCGAGAACAAACTTCAAACAGAGCCCCATCCCATATGTCCCTAGGGGGGTCATACCCACCAATTATACAAAATTGAGACCCCTTGGTCCAAGGATGCTCCAGACTAAATATGGAAAAAATCCCTTAATCTCGATGGTCGAAGAAGGATTTAAAAGGTTTTACCTCTATTTCTCCTATCGGCCCCCGCCCTTCTGCCCCCTGGGAGACTACACCCACTGCATATACAAAATTGAGTCCCCTTGGCCCAAGGATGCTCCATACTAAATTAGGATAAAATCCCTAAATCCCTATGGTAAAAGAAGGATTTTAAAGGTTTTACCTCTATTGCCCCTATTGGGCCCCGCCTCTCTGCCTCCAGGGGGGTTAGACACACCGTTTATACAAAATTGGTTCCCCTTCAACAAATGATGCTTCATACCAAATTTGGACAAAATCCTGTCATTCGTTCAGAAGAAGAAGGTATTTGAAGAATTTGCTATGTTTCCCCTATTGGGCCCGCCCGCCAGACCCACGGTTTATACAAAATTGGTTCCCCTTCACCCAAGGATGCTTCAGACCAAATATGGAACAAATCCTTTCATTCCTACAGAAGAAGAAGGATATTAAAGAATTTGCTATATTTCCCCTATTGGGCCCCACCTCTCAGCCCCCAGGGGGGCCAGACCCACCGTTTATTGGTTCCCCTTTACCCAAGGATGCTCCACACTAAATATGGAACAAATCCTTTCATTCCGACAGAAGAAGAAGGATTTTAAAGAATAATTTGCTATGTTTCCCCTTATAGGCCCCACCTCTCAGGCCCCTGGCGGGCCAGACCCATGGTTTATACAAAATTGGTTCCCCTTCACCCAAGGATGCTTCAGACCAAATATGGAACAAATCCTTGCATTCCTACAGTAGAAGAAGGATTTTAAAGAATTTGCTATATTTCCCCTATTGGGCTCCGCCCCCCAGCCCCCAGGGGGCCACACCCAACCATTTATACAAAATTGAGTCCCCTTGGCCCAAGGATGCTCCAGACTAAATTAGGATAAAATCCTTTAATCCCTACGGTAGAAGAAGGATTTTCAAGGTTTTACCTCTATTTCCCCTATTGGGCCCCGCCCCCTTGCCCCCAGGGGGGCCACACCCACCAATTATACAAAATTGAGTCCCCTTCGCCTAAGGATACTCTAGATCAAATTTAGTCAAAATCTACTTGGCCGTTCAGGACTAGTAGCATTTTAAAGGAAAAGTTGACGGACGGACGGACGGACGGACGACGGACGCTGCGGTATGGCATAAGCTCACCATGGTCCTTCGGACCAGGTGAGCTAAAAACAAGAGGCCCGCTTATACAAAATTGAGTCTCCTTGGCCCAAGGATGCTCCAGACCAAATTAAGATGAAATCCCTATGGTAGAAGAAGGATTTTACAAGTTTTACCTTTATTACCCCTATTGGGCCCCACCCCTCTGCCCCAAGGGTGTCCAAACCCACGTTTATACAAAATGGAATCCCCTTGGCCAAAGGATGCTCCTGACCAAATGATGAAATCCCTTAATCCCTTTGGTAGAAGAAGGATTTTAAAGGTTTTACCTCCCTTTCCCCTATTGGACCCGCTCCTTTTCCCCAGGGAAACAACACCCAATGTTGATACCAAAAAAAATCCTCTTGCCCAAAGGATGCTCCAGACCACATTGGGATAAAATTCCTTAATCTCTATGGTAGAATGAGGATATTAAAGGTTAACCTCTATTTCCCCTATTCGGCCCAACCCCTCTTCCCCCAGGGGGGCAAAACCCACAGTTTATACAAAATTGAGTCCCATTGGCCCAAGGATGCTCCAGACTAAATAAGGATACAATCCCTTAATCCCTATGGTAGAAGAAACACCTACCGTTTATACAAAATTGAGAGCCCTTGGCGCAAGGATGCTCCAGACCAAATTTCGTTATAATCTACTAAGCCATTCAGGACTAGTAGCCATTTAAAGGAAAAGTTGATGGACGGAAGGATTGCAAACCTATAGTCCACCCCGGGAACCAGTAGGGGACTTATTAAGCAACCATTGGAATTTATTTTTATTGCATTAAATCTTTCCACTCGGTACGAGGAAGAAGGATTTTGAAGACTTAAGCTTCAAATTCCAATTTTGGGCTCGCCCCTCTGCACCATGAGGGGGCAACACCCTCTGTTTAAACAAAATTTACTTAAAGTAATCCCCTTTGCCAAAATAAACTTCAGGCAAAATTTGGATAGAATCCCTCCAATAGTACAGAAGAAAAAGGATTTGAAAGATTTTAACCGCAAATCCTTTGGAGCCCCACCCCACTGCATCCAAGTTGAATCATCTTGGCCCAAGGATGCTCCCGACCAAATAAGGATAAAACCCCTTTATCCCTACAGTAGAAGAAGGATATTTTAAAGTTTCACCTTTATTTCCCCTATTCTGCCCCCCCAGGGGGGGGGGGGCACTGTTTACACAAAATTGAGTCCCCTTGCTCAAAAGATGATCCAGACCAAATTGGGATAAAATCCCTTTGTTCCTACGGTAGAAGAAGGATTTTACAGGTTTGACCTCTATTTCCCCTATCAGGCCCCATCCCTCTGAGGCCAAACCCACTGTTTATACAAAATTGAGTCCCTTTGCCCAAAGGATGCTCCAGACCAAATTTGAATAAAATCCCTTTGTCCCTATTGTAACAGTAGGATTTCAAAGCATTTACTTCTATTTTCCCTCTAGATGCCCAGCAATGGGTATATATGGTTATGGGGTGGAATCTCAAATGTTTCAAAATTATTGCTCAGAAGTCAAGTCCCTAAGAGTGGGGCCAAACCCCAGAGTCAATTATTTTATCATGATAGTGTTACTCTCTTGATACTCAGCAATTGTTTAAGTGGTTATAGGGTGGAGATCTCCATATTCTGGTTATTAGCTCACCTGGCCTGAAGGTGCTGCGTCCGTCGTCCGTCCGTTGTCCGGAATCAATATTTTACTTTAAACAACTTCTTCTTAATAACCAAATTGCCAAGGGTGATGATATTTGGCCAATAGCATGCTGAGATAAAGGGCTACAAAGTTTGTTCAAATCAATGACCTTCTCCCATATTCAAGGTCACAGGGGTCAATTATGTTTAAAACTTTAAACAACTTCTTTTCAATAACCAAAATGCCCAGGGTAATGATATTTGGCTGGTAGCATGCTGTGATGAAGGGCTACAAAGTTTGCTCAATGAATGACCTTCACCCATATTCAAGGTCACAGGGGTCAAATATGTTAAAAACTTTAAACAACTTCTTCTTAATAACCAAATTGCCAAGGGTGATGATATTTGGCCAGAAGCATGCTGAGATGAAGGGCTACAAAGTTTGTTCAAATGAATGACCTTCTCCCATATTCAAGGTCACAGGGGTCAAATATGTTTAAAACTTTAAACAACTTCTTTTCAATAACCAAAATGCCCAGGGTAATGATATTTGGCTGGTAGCATGCTGTGATGAAGGGCTACAAAGTTTGCTCAATGAATGACCTTTACCCATATTCAAGGTCACAGGGGTCAAATATGTCAAAAACTGTAAACAACTTCTTCTGAATAACCAAAATGCCCAGGGTTATGATATTTGGCCAGTAGCATGCTGACGTAAAGGGCTACAAAGTGTGTTCAAATAAATGACCTTCACCCATATTCAAGGTCACAGGGGTCAAATATGTCAAAAACTGTAAACAACTTCTTCTGAATAACGAAAATGCCCAGGGTGATGATATTAAGTCAGTAGCATACTAGGATCAAGGGCTACCAAGTATGTTTAAATGTATGACCTTGATTCATATTCAAGGTCACAAGGAGCAAATAATAATAACAAGAGGCCCAAGAGGGCCTGTATCGCTCACCTGAATATTTAAGCAGTCATAGCAAAATATTCTCATTAAATATTATATTGCACTAAAAATATTTCCCTCACAAACTTTGTTGGCTCCAACTGTTGAAACTACCAGCAAAATATTATTACAAGATTCTATGCTTTTTGATTCTTCAGAAGTTGCTTGACATATTTTTCCCTGTGACCTTGTAAGTAGGTCAATGTCATTTTCCTTCTCAAATTGGTAAGCTCTATTCCAAAAGCTACCAGCCAAATCTTGTGAATCCATTCCTTTTAGTTCTTAAGAACAAATCCATTAAAATGTTGTTGACCTCTGTGACCTTGAAAGTAGGTCAAGGTCACTTTCATTCGCAAACTTTGTTGGGCTCTTTCCCAGGAAATAACCAGCCGAATATTAAGGTTCTATAACTTCCAGTTCTTCAGAAGAAGTCATTTGAAGTGTTTGACATATCTGCCTCATGTGACCTTAAAAGTAGGTAAAGGTCATTTTCATTCTCAAACTTTGTTGGGCTCTTTCCTAGGAAGCTACAAGCCAAATATAAAGATTCTATACCTTTCAGTTGTTCAGAAGAAGTCGTTTGAAGTGTCTGACACATTTG